GAATATATTTTTTTCCAAAATTAAAAATCAGAGATTACAGTCGTGGCTTCAATCATATGTACAAAGGAAAAAAGTCCCCACAAAGACTGTACGTCTGTGTGTGGGGAGAGTCATATTTGTCGCTCACCACTTCACAGAAAAAATAACAAGATAAACATATAGTTAAAATAAAAAGAGGTTAAAAATGTTATAAAATACTATTGTTACAAGTTAAATAGAATGAAATGAAAAGAATACTTTACTGGAAGAAACTTTTATGATGTACTAAATTGGTCAAACTTATTTACAGAATAATTAATGAACAACTGAAAACCATATGTAAAACAAAAACATTTGAATTCTCATAAGGAAGTCAAAGAGTACTAAATATAATAAACATAGTCCAATAGTTATTATATGCAACACTCCCCCTACTCAAGGCTTCCTTAGAGACTTCATGGGAATGTTAAGCCAGTCCAATTTTCTGTCTTAAAACCTTCAACCTTGGTCCAAGAAGAGGTTTTGTAAACAAATCAGCTAGTTGTTCACTTGTGTCAATTTTCTTCACTTCCAGGTTTCCTGCTGTCACTTGTTCTCGAATGAAAAAGTGTTTTATTTCAATGTGTTTGGTTCTTCTGTGATGCTCTGGATTCTGTGCTAGACATATAGCAGCTTCATTGTCTACGAAGATCACAGGTGTACTTTTAAGTTCAGTTAATGAGCTTAGTAATCGCTTTAACCAAATTGCATCCCTGGCCGCCTCACTCGCAGCTACTATCTCTGCTCCCGTAGTGGAAAGTTGAACAGAAGGCTGTCGTTGGCTGATCCATGATATCGCTCCACCTGCGTACAGAGTCAGTAGTCCTGTTGTCGATCTCCTGGTTTCATGGTCACCACCAAAGTCTGAATCACTGTAGCAATTAAGAACGCCACTTCCAATGTGCTTCTTGTACACGATTCCACAATCTTTAGTACCCTGAAGATATCTGAGTATTCTCTTCACTCGACACCAATCATTTATTGTAGGATTTTCTAGGCTTCTGGAGACGACACTCACTGCGTACGCTATGTCCGGTCTGGTACTAACCATGAGGTACATAAGAGCTCCGACAGCTTCTCGATACGGAAAAGACGTCTCATCTGTTCTTTTGTCTTCCTGTTCAGATTTTACTATAGGTGTTGGTGCTGATCTGCAGTTTTCCATGTTGAATCTTTCCAAAATTCTTGAAACATATCCTCCTTGACTTAATTTGATATTTTCACCAGATTTGGAAATCTCCAATCCTAAAAAATAATCTGCTGGTTTTGACTTGATTTTAAATTCTTTTTTCAATTCTACTAGGAATGAATTTAAGTCTTCATCATGAGTTGAAGCAATGAGTCCATCATCAACATATAGAACAACAATTAACTTATGTCCATTGTTGTTACGGATAAAAAGACATGGATCATCATCACTCTTTTTCAGTCCAGTTTTGTTAGGCCCATTCCAACTCTCTCGTTCCAGCATCTTGGTGCTTGTTTCAAACCATACAAACTTCTATTAAGCTTGCAGACGTGATTACTGTTATCACTGAATCCTTCTGGTTGATGCATATAAATTTCTTCATTTATTTTGCCGTACAAAAAGACAGTAGACACATCAAATTGTGTAAGTTTCATGCCTTCATTAGCAGCTACTGCGATAACACTTCTGATTGTTGGCATTTTTGCTACTGGACTAAAGGTTTGATTATAATCGATTCCTTTCTTCTGTGCAAATCCCTTTACTACTAGTCAGGCTTTGTATCTCTCTATGGATCCATCGGCATTTGTTTTTACTTTGTATACCCATTTACAAGGTATGGCTTTGTGACCTTTGGGTAGTTCAGTAAGTGTCCACACTTCATTCATGTGAAGTGAGTTAATCTCATCTTCCATTGCTTTTTGCCATTGGAGATGATCTTCACAGTTCGATGCCTCCATGTATGTATTAGGTTCATAGTGTGTGTTCCCCATAACAGCACTCATCACAAAATCTTCAAAACGAATGGGCTGCCGTACCATAGCTCTATCTCGGAGTTGGCGAGTTTGCACAACGTTTTCTTCATGTTGTTCTGCTTCCTCGTCTGTCAATTTATCTTCTTCCGATTCATCTTCAGGAAAGAGAATGGGGACATTTTCTACTACAGGGGCTGAACAGTTCTCATCTTTTGCTTCATCGGGGACTTTTTCTTCTGACGATATAGGCCTATTTACTATGGATTCACTAATAGGCTCTTTCAAAAATTTTACATCCCTGGACCGAATGACAGTACATTTCCATGAATTCCAGAGACGATATCCATCATTACCATCATATCCAATAAGTTTGCATTTCATCGCTTTCTTGTCAAACTTACGTCTTCTCTGCTTTGGAATATGGACAAAACAATCTGTCCCGATAACCCGTAAATGTTTTATCGTAGGTCTTTTTCCAAACCATGATTCATATGGAGTCTTTCCGGCAACTGATGACTTAGCAGTTCTGTTCAAAATATAGGCTGCAGTGTTTATCAATTCAGCCCACAAGCCTTGAGGCAGATCACCGTGAGCATGCATCATTGACCTTGCACATTCAACTATGGTCCGATTTTCTCTCTCTGCAGATCCATTCTGTTGTGGTGTGTATGGCATTGTGATCAACTGTTGTATTCCATTCACTTGAAGGACTCGTCTAATACTTTCATTGTCGAATTCACCTCCTCCATCACATCTCAACTTACATATTACATGGCCTGTGACTTTGACTTCTGCAAGAAACTGCTTCAGCTTCTCTACAACTTGAGATTTTGTCTTCATAAAATAAACACTGCGGTAGCGAGTAAAGTCATCCTTGAACAATACAAAGTACTTTGAACCTCCAATCGACTCAAAGAAAGGTCCACAAACATCAGAGTGAACGATTTCACCAGGTACTGAAGCTCTGTGTTCATCTCTGCTTCTGAATTGTGATCTGTGCATCTTTCCATAAGCACAACCTTCACATACCTCATTGTCAAGCTTGAGATTAAGGTTCAGTTCTCTCCTTGCAAATTCTTGTACATGAGTTTTGCTTTGATGTCCTAGTCGTTCATGAAGTAATTGTAACTGATTAACAGTTGGAACTCCTTCCATAACAGCCATGAGGTCTACTGATTTTCTTACTGCTAATTTAAACAAGCCTCCGCCTTGACTTCTATGTCCTTTGATGAGTGGTTTACCATTTCTATCAAACAAAGTGCAATCCTTGGATGTCGATACAAATTTACTATTTACATTTAAATCTTGAGCAGCGGTTACTGAAAATAGGTTTGCGAAAATACCAGGTACATACCATACATTGGTTAGTTTTACTGAATTCCAAATACCATCCAAATTTGCTTCCATGCAAATTGTTCCTCTACCAATAGCACTTGTCTGTTGTCCATTTGCCATTGTAACTGCATGAGGTAACTCAAATTGTTCAAAGTCAGTAAACATTTCCCTACAATGTGTAACATGGTTGGTAGCACCACTGTCCACGTACCAATCATGTGATGCGGTAGTATTCTGGGTTTGAAAAACACAATTACTTAATATGGTTAGTGCTGCTTGTTTGGATTCTTTTTCCAAGCTTTTCTTTTCAGGTTTTCCATCCGCTATCCATTTCTGACACTCTTGCAACCAATGTCCTTTCTTGTGACAATAGTGGCATGGAAACTTTTTCTTTTTATCATTGTTTTTGCTGTTTTTCTGTACACCTACTAAGTTACCTTTGGCTTCTTTAGATCTATTGACCGCCATTAAAGCTGTATCTTCTTTCTCATTTTCCTTTGAAGTCAGCTTTCTTGCTTCTGTACACAGCCAATTTGTAAGATTGTCAAGGTTTCTCGCTTTATCCTTGTGAATCATTAACCAAGTTGTTTGAAAGTTGGAATATTCTGCTGGTAGGATTTCAAAAATCTTGCAAATCAACAATATCTGAGGTAAACTATCTTCTTTCTTGTCTTGAATTTTCTTAATTTCTTCTTGAAGCTTTACCCATAACGACTTGATTGCAGATAGGTTCCCAGCCATATCCAAGTGTTGATCCCATTTGTAGGTGAAGAACAGAGAGCATATATCATAGGCTTTATTTTCCTCTATTTCTGCAAATAGATTATGCAGCTCCTTCCAAACCTCATCTGGTTTTTCTAGGTTTCTTACCTGAGCTCTTACTTCCTTACTTAATGAAGATGCTAACATAAACATTACTTCTGACTGTGTTTTGTTATACTTATCTATCTTCATTTTGTATTCTTTCATTTCTGCAGCTTGTGTTTCATCTTTAGGTTTCTCTGGCAATTCCATTTTACCAGAAATGGCTTCGTATGCATCTGGGATTCCTTTAAGCCTAATTTGCATGAGATATTTCCAATCATCCCAGTTGTCCTTTCCATGCAGCAATTCCATTTTCTGCATAAGGAATTCCATAGGTACTAAAGATTTTATCTCAAGCAATAAATTATTCTATTTAAAACCTGTAACACACAATATAAGGGTGTCTGGGCCCATAACCTGTTATAAAATACTATTGTTACAAGTTAAATAGAATGAAATGAAAAGAATACTTTACTGGAAGAAACTTTTATGATGTACTAAATTGGTCAAACTTATTTACAGAATAATTAATGAACAACTGAAAACCATATGTAAAACAAAAACATTTGAATTCTCATAAGGAAGTCAAAGAGTACTAAATATAATAAACATAGTCCAATAGTTATTATATGCAACAAAAAAATCTTTTTTTGCCTTAAACTTTGGTAATAAAAATACTAAATTGAACATGAACAATTACTATAGAATAAGTTGAACAGATCTATAATATAATAAACTAAGAATATTTGAATGAGGGTGCCAGTACTGAAGAATTTGCAATTCAGCCTAATTTAGTTTTTGAATTGTTCTCGACTTTCTTATGTCGTGTACTGGGATCTGATGCAATGTACTTATAATTTAAAAGTTAGTTTAAGTAATGTATTAGGATGAACTTTTTACAGGGAATACCGATGTCAAGCTGACAACAAGAGAATTGGCAGACCTTCTGAGTTCTGTGTATGAAGAAGAATACCATGAACCACCTCAAAAAGAAAATAACAATGTGATCCGTTTTGGCTTAATACGCTGATTTTAAACCAATAACACTTATACTGATAAATTATAATTTTAATAAACTTGATTTGAAAATAAAAGTGTTATGCTGAATCGCCATCCTTAGAAAATGTTAACTAATTAGTATTTCACTATTGAAAGTTTACTGAAAAACTATTCAATATATGAGGAGGGTTATCTGTAAATTGAGGTCTCCATCCAGTTCTTCTTGCAGCCAAGCAAGATATTTCAAATCTAACACCAACATTGTGTTCCTTACCTCCTCTACTAATATTCCAGTCAGTTTCCACCCCCAGGAGACAGTTAGTCCTGTTATAGTATTTATAAATTAAATTAAAATTTACTCTTCCACCAAGTATAAATCATGTTCTGTGTTAAGTTAAGCTTTATATGGTCTCTCCCTTCAAAGCCTGATACACCCCGATCAACAAGCAAAGTTTCCTTAAACCCAATCAATATCTCGATGGTAACTGATGCAAACCATCTGCCAGCCCCTTTGTGCAAATGTGTACGACCGCCTGCAAAACCCCCAAACCACTTATGGACATTTCTACATCAAAACACTTCTTGCAGACACGTGTGTCAACTGTAAGGTTGTAGGGGCTGGAATGGCCAATTCGCTTCCGTAATGGGGATGAGTGATAGAAATGTAGTGCTAGGCACTGAGTCCCAGAAGTAAAGTGGTAACAGTCTGCATGTTATGAAATGATTAACTACAGCAGTGCACTCAGCTAGATGATTTAACGCTATATTAAGTTTTAAAATGTTAAGTTTACCTGAAATACTTATTTTGGCAAAAGGGTGAAAGAAGAATTTTCATAAAAATTTAAATACACATACTTATTAAGGTTACTTACTTTTGTTTACCGAATTAAAAGGTTAAAAATTGGTATCCAGACTTCTTGGGAGCGAGATATTTCATAGCTAACTGTTCTTAGTAGTTTTTTGTACAATCTATATATATAAAATCCAATGTATGTTTGTATATTTGTATATTTGTATGTTTGTCCTTTATGGACTCCAAAACCGCTCGACAGATTGTAATGAAACTTTCAGGCATTATTAAGCATTATTCAAGGATGGTTTGTGTGAAGTTTGGTGCAGATCCGTCATAAGGGCTCCGCCCCAGTGGCTCTGGAGTTTCCCATGTTAATCTTATGAGTACTCATATTTAAATGGAATTAAAGAACCTTAACAGCTGGTTCAACTAAACTATCTGATTCTGTGATGTTCAATAGCATTAAAAAGTTAATAGGTTTACCAACAGGGTGCAGCACTATATTTTTTTTTAATTTATGAGAACAGCTAATTTGCAACCAAAAGGTGAGTGAGCGTAGCGAACGAACTCCAACCTGGAGGCGAGTTAGCGTAGCGAACGAGCTAACCTGTAGGCAAGTGACCGCAGCGAACGAGCTCCAACCTAAAGGTGAGTGAGCGTAGCGAACGAACTTCAACCAGGACGTGATTAAGCCATGCGAACGAGCTCATCTTGAAAATGTACGAACATGTGACATAAAACCACAATAGGGCAGGACTACGTCTGTCGGGCCAGCTAGTCTGTAATACAGTAGACTCTCGCTCATCTGGATCGGCCTTGTCGGGATTACCGCTAGTCCGGATCGGCAATAGTGATTTTTTTTTTTAGCGGCACAGTACTGTATCCGAGCTAAACGGGACCGAGACTACCTCGCATGATCAAAAACTCAGATAAAACGGCGGTAAAAATTATTACCGGTGGAACTGCATTTGCACGGCTATCAATACTGTGGACCTGGAACAAAATTGAAAAAACGGCTATATACAGTACTGTATTTGTTCGACTCTCGGTAGTCTGGATTTTTTGTAATCCGGACCAGACGTCCGCCACATTTGTCCAGATGAGCGAGAGTCTACTGTATTATACCTTACTATTGCAAAAATAAAATTTACTAACAATTACTTAAGAACTATTATATTTTTTCAATAACTATAAATGTACAAAATTAACAATCAGGGTAGAAAGTATCGTAAAACTTCTTCTTGTAATTTTCTGGATCCCTGAATTTTCTTGGGATATAAGGTTTGCTGTGGTCATCCAAACGCCTCTTGAAAGGATCAACGTCGATTTCAAAAAATCTCCTTTTGGCATCAAAGGGCCTTGCGTCAAACTTCACCTGAAAAATGTGTTATTGAATATAACAATTATGCATCTAAGTATTTGTTCACACTGTTGAAGAGACATTCTATACATCAACCATTAGATAAGGTTATTACAACACCAACGTACCAAGTATGTATTGTAAGGTGAAAGTGAATGAAAGATGTATAAAACAAAAAATTCAACCATCCAGATGAGGTCCGTTCCCAATTGGTCCAATCTAGTTATTTGAAGTTCTACTGTATGTTCAATTTGAACCTTAACTCACAACAAAATTAATTTAGGAGTTGGTCTCTACACAAGGTCTTTCTAGTTGAACATACACAATGAATGCTAGTAAATATTTATCTACTATTCAAAAACCATTTAACAAAGTACAACCCCATTTTAAGAGAGAGAGTATTCAGTAGGGATGGACAATGGACATGTCCTACAATTTTGCGAACAATATATTTCCAATATTTGAGGAGGATTCAATTTAATTTGGGATTTTCTCAGTATGGGATTTGTTCCAACTGACTGCAATTTACACTTTACAATTCAATCGGTAAATTGCAGGAGATTATGATGATAATGTCTCACCGGAGATGTTCACGATCCAGTTGCTATGGTGTTCGACAATGTTAATATCTGCGCTACCACACAAAATTACAACTATAGCGCCATGATCATGGATTATAGTCATAATGTCACATTGGATGTGATAAGTAAACATTACAAAACGTATTATTACAAAAGCTAATGCATATTTTCTACTGGTAACTATATCAAACATGCCTTAAAGGTAAGATGTTTAAAACAAACTGTGGTTCCTCTTGTTGCTCGAGAAGAAAACTCCCATTCCAAAAATCAGTAAAGAAATAAAGTTCTCGTCACATACTGAAAGTACAATCCCATCCATCCCTATTATTATTCAGCCTATATGCATACCTTGTATATTTCTTCCCAATCGTACATCTCGGGTGCCAGACGGTGTCGAGGCCTGTTGGAGTACAAATGGCGGAAACGTCCATGAAGCCATTCCCTCCGCTCCTCGTGACTTATGTCCTTCACCAGTGGAACGTCCTTGTCTACGTAAGGCTTCATGTCGACTCCCTCGCGGGCCTCAGGTTTGTTCAGGTAAGCTTGCACCAGATACTCCAGTGCTTGGTCATTCCACCCTGCAAGAAAAATAAAACAAGTGAAGTCCATGTAACCACTGACTAGACATGGAAATGTAACCCATCATAAAGTTCTGGACTCTGTTGAGATTAAAACGTAGATTTCTATTGTAGACGTTCTCTTCAAAAACAGTGGTCAGTTTCTCCTACCTTAATTTTAAAACTACGGTAGAACCCCAGTTAACCGAAACGGTTCCATAAAATAATCTAGGGATGGTCAAGTCTCGAAATTTCGGGAAATTTTAAATCTCGTTACACGAGACAAGATTTCTTTTTGGCCGAGATTTTTATCGAGACGAGAATAAAAAATAAAAAAATTTTAAACTCCTGCAGAAAGTCAATGCAATACCCGCAATACAGGGGCGTGTTGTAGTTACGTTTCCTTTGCGAAGGCGTACTTATTTAATTAATTTTTTTAATGTAAATATTACCTTAATTATTTTAATAATATTACTTTAATAACATTTGAGAAGTTTTGTTAAATGTAAGCAGTGTGAGGAATGTTTATTACTATAAAAAGTCAAAACAAGTACCTAACTATTTTATAAAAATTAATATTGCTTTTATTTTATGATTTATTTTATTTTAGGATAAGTTGAACTCTATCCTAACTGATATCACTATGTTTCCTAATCGTAGGCATTTTTAATAAGTTAGGCGTGATTAATAAAAAAATGTTATGCTGATGTTTTTTAATAAAAGATTGTAAATATTCTTGCCTATTATCATTATTTTTGTATTTAAACAGTCATCTAACAATGTTACAAAATCAGGTAAAAATTTTGAACGTGCATTTCCCGTTGTGTATGAGAAGGGAAATCCCGTCTCGATCTCGTCTCGAAAGTTTATGAGAAATAAAAAATCTCGTCTCGTCTCGTCTCGAACTAAAAATCCAATCTCGTCCATCCCTAAATAATACGCTAAAATATAAGTAATACTAATGCTTTAGTAACTTCATTTATTTAGTTTGAAGTATTTTCTAACCAATTGTAACGTTTCTGTAGCTGAAATAAAATAATGTATTGTATTGAAATTGTTTTAAATTAATTTTCCAACTCACCCTGGTAATACATAGGCTATTTTTAGCTTATGACGGGTTAACTCAAAAATCAGTTATCCGAAACGGCTCTCCCCCCTTTATTTCGTTTACCCGTGGTTCTACTGTTGTTGGTTTAACCAAACAGTTTTAGGAAGATACTTCTGTTCCCACTATTATCGCGGCAACAAGTCGTTGCCGTTACCATCATTATCGCAGACATGTCAGTTCAGGTCTAGTATTTTAGTATTTATCAACCATACGGAAAATGAAAAGCAGGGAAAAAACCCACCTGTTATTTTACACTAAATCTTCAGCATTATTAAGATAAACGTGTAAATAATTTTACTACAATAATACTGTATGTAGGCCTATGAGAGTGTATTTATAAATATTGTAATAGTATCAGCATCACTATAGTCCAATTTTTGTGTTTTTGAGCGGTAAAATGTGCAGGGCTGTAGTAATGAAAAGACAGATTGTCTTTCTATGGCGCAGTTAACTTAATTGGTATAGGTATTTCAGTATAAAACTGAACTTTGCCAATGAATGTTATCATGTCTTGATTACAGTATGTTTTACCCACGTTTTACGTAATTAACATAGGACCCATACCGAGATGACAGTTTAAGAGCAAGTGTACTGTAATACTTACAACAGAGAATGCTGCTAACAACTAGCATAGCAAGATAATAGTAGGGCATATTAACAGTTGTGTCTTTTCATAACTGTGCAAACCTTTCTACACAGGGTGGTGTAAGAAGGGTTCATCCGACATAGGGTGCTCACTGTATTCAGCCAGTATGTCCTCGACATCTTTGTACTTCTCAAGGACAAGGTGGGACTCTTTGGCAGGAGAAAGGAGGTCCACATCCACAATCCTCGCAGAGCCCTAGACCTCGACATGCCTCGGTGCCGACTTGCACAGACGATGAGGAGTTACCCGCGCAATTAGGGTTTTCAACACCTTGCCCAAGCGAGTGCGTGACATGGACCTGCCTGACTTTAAGAGTGCTATTCGCGATGGACTGCTGAATAGGCCATTGTACGCCTTGCAAGAGTTGGACAACAAACCCCTTTTTGTAACGTTACACGTCCGCCACGAAAAGTATATGTAGATAGTTTTTATAGTGTTTAGTAAATATGTAAATAGAAATAAAACATGACACAATCTATCCGACTTGTCGGTCAACGATGTAGAAGACAAGTATTCAAAGTAAGAAAATGACGCAGTCAGATTTAATCAGAATTGGTATTTAAGTAAAACAAACAATTGTTCAAACATAGTGTTTTCTGAATGATCTTTATCTGTAAATTTTAAACGAATAAATTTTACTACACTCAGACTTTAACATCGGTATAATTTCAGAGTGGGATGGGAAAATCGGATGTTAAATCACTTTTAAAGTTACATAATTTTACACTTAATTTTCAAAAAACAATTCATAAATAAGGATAATCAATCACAGGTGTACAAAATGGGTTATCCGTGAACGGACTGAAAACATATATTAACATATTTTTTCATCTAAGAGTATAAACTATATGGTAAAAACAAGGATGAAAGTTGTACAATATAAAACAGACAAGATACGTAGTTAGAAATAATTAAATCCTCAAAAACTTTATAATGGGTAGACAATAAACTACATACCAACAAACTCATTTCCGTCTATTCTCTCGTAGAGTTCACAGGTAGGCAGAGAACAGCATACGTTCACTTTGGGGTTTATGTCGATGAACTCATCGTGTAGAAGAAGTGTGTTGAGTTGACTGGCGTAGAATGAAAACACACGTCCATCTGTGACCACTGTAGTTGTGGTTAGTGGGTAGGTAATGTCATGAAACGTGGAGAAACCTGGAAATACAAATAAACTGTAATAAAATAATAAAAATCTTACTTGGTAAATCAAAACTGTTGTAAATAAATATAAAATACCTCCAGGAACATAAACAGCCATAGGGTGTCACAGGTGAATTATAGAAAATTTCTAGAATTCTAAAAAAAACTTATACTTTTTTTACTTTTTTTTTTACTTTTTTTTTACTTTTTAGAATTGCAACAAACTTTTACAAAGGCTGCATGAGGACATTGGGACATTAAAAACTTTAAATACCCCCGCCGCAGCAAACCTGCAGACAAAGCGAATTTCAACTTGTCTCATACATTTTTACTAAAATATTTCCATTAATAAGACATATTTATTCCCAATTTAAATAACATTAGATAGTGCTTAGATTTGCTGCTACGGGGAAGGTAAAAAGTGTTTTTTTTTCATACGTCAATGGTATAGGATGAAATACATCAATTTGCCAAATTTGACCAACATATATCCATAAACAAGTAAATGACAACAGTTTTCATTTTCTCCATAAGAATAACATGGGAATTTTAAATTACGGTATTTTTTAATTTTCTCCATGATTGTTAGGCATACAACAGCGCTTCAATATACTAAATTATTTCTTTTTTTAAGCTCTACAAAACGGTTTAAAAAGAAATTGCAAAATGTTTTGTTTTTAGGGTCGAAAATTGAAAAACCCCATTTTTACCCCATAAAACCCCCCATAAACCCCCCCGTTCCCATGGTTCCATTATGCTGGATCGCGAACTTGTTCGAATAAACGTAGGTTTACATGTTTGTACCAAATTTCATCAAAATCGGATCATTTTCGATTGAGTTATCGCGCTAACGGACACATATATCTTACTAATATTATAAATCTGAAAGTTTGTGAGTTTGTATGTATGTTTGTGTGTATGTTTGTGTGTTGCTCAATCACGCATAAACTACTGGACGGATTGGGCTTAAATTTGGCATGATGATAGATCTCATTCCCTATTAACATTTAGGCATATTCTTATCTCAAAAATCCTTTCGGGCTCCGCCCCAGTGGGTCTGTAGTTCCCCATGTTAACCTTATGAGTATTCATATTTAAAAGGAATTAAAGAATTTAGTCAGCTGTTTCAACTTTACAAGTTGGTTCTATAATATGCAATAGCATTAAAAAGTTATAAGGTTTCCCAACAGGGTGCAGCACTATTATCATTTTGTTTGTGCATATATGACAACAGCTATACTCTGTCTGAATTTAATGTGCGGTTGAAGGACAAATTTGTTTTTCCCTGCTTTCTCCCTGGCCCCTGCCACCACAACATATTAGCCTACAGCTGATTCATAATGTTTATAATTTTACAACAGTTGTCACTTTGTTTACATTTTAGTTGTAAACAACATTGTGATTATTCTGATGGTATTTTGTGCAGTTTAATATTATTCAGTCTGTGTTTACTTGATTAGTGTTCATTAGGGTAATTATATCGACCTCCGGACCTCACGCGAAATTAAAAAAATTATTTTTCAAAATGGTCGAAATTTCACGCTGATTTCAAAAATGATTGTCGTTTTTTTCGGAAACGTCCCGTTTTCCCGGAAAATGGGAAAAACGGGAAAAATATTTTTTGCTCAAAACCTATGTTGTTGGTACTCAAATTGTGCGGAATTTCATCCTGAAGAAAAATATGTAGTTTTTATTACGATCGCTTTTAATTAAAACATCAATAGACAGTTTAACTAACCTAACATAACCTAACTTAGGTTTAGATTAGGTTAGGTTAGGATAGGTTAGTTTAGGTTAGGTTAAGTTAGGTTAGGTTAGGTTGGTTTAGGTTAGGTTGAGTTTTGTTAGGTTTAAGTTTGGTTAGGTTAGGATAGGTTAAGTTTGGTCAGATTAGGTTAGGTTATGTTATGTTAGGTTAGTTTAGGTTAGTTTACTTACAATACTCATGTTATTGATAAACTAACCCAACCTAACCTAACTTACGAACTTACGAACTTAGGTTAGGTTAGTTTAGGTTAGTTTACTTACAATACTAACCTAACCTAACCTACTTAAACCAACCAAACCTAACCTAACTTAACTAAACTGACTTATCCTAACCTAACCTAACCTAAACTAACTTATCCTAACCTAACCTAAGTTCCTAAGTTAGGTTAGGTTAGTTTTTCAATAACATGAGTATTGTAAGTAAACTAACCTAACCCAACCAAACTTAACCTAACCTAACCTAACAAAACTCAACCTAACCTAAACCAACCTAACCTAACCTAACTTAACCTAACCTAACCTAAACTAACCTATCCTAACCTAACCTAACCTAATCTAAACCTAAGTTAGGTTATGTTAGGTTAGTTAACCTGTCCGGTGATGTTTTAATTAAAAGCGATTGTAATAAAAACTACATATTCTTCTTCAGGATGAAATTCCGCACAATTTGAGTATCCACAACATGGGTTTTGAGCAAAAAAAATCCCCCGTTTTCCCGTTTTTCGGTGATATTTTACTTAATAGTGGTCCGATCGTAATAAAATTTACATATTCTTTTTCAGGAGGAAATTCCGCATAATTTGAGTACCCACAACATAGGTTTTGAGCAAAATATATTTTTCCCGTTTTCCGGGAAAACGGGACGTTTCCGAAAAAAACGACAATCATTTTTGAAATCAGCGTGAAATTTCGACCATTTTGAAAAAAAAAATTTTAATTTCGCGTGAGGTCCGGAGGTCGATATAATTACCATTTAAAACAGCTTGTAACCAGCAAACCAAATGCGACAGTGTGGGAAGTGTTCCATCAAACCCAAAAGGCTACAGCAGAAGCTTGTTCTGTTTCTCTTCGAACAGTTCAAAACATAACGGGAGAAGGAAACAAATCCATTGCAGCACATAATATGGACTCCGAAGATTGTAATATAGAAAATATATCAAAAGAAGCAACATTTTCTTCATCTCAAAGGAAAATATCCCACAAAAAGTGGATAACTGATCTAGACCAATTCGACAAGGACGTAGTCCGAAGAACTGTTTTTGATTTCTACGAAAGAGGAGAGTACCCGACCTGCAGGAAGTTGAAGATTGTGCTAAAAGAAAAAATTGTATTTAGTGGAAGTAAAGATTCTGTATGTAAGATACTTAGAGGTGTGGGATTTAAGTTTAAAAATACTAACAACGGCCGAAAATTCTTAATAGAACGGTCTGATATTGTCGCTTCCCAGGTAGTATTTCTAAGAAAGATGCACAATTTAAGGCGGCAGGAAACTCCTCTCCCAATTGTATACCTGGATAAGACGTGGGTAAACCAAAACCATGCAAGAAAGTGTATTTGGAAAGCTTAGATGGCAAAGGAGGGTTTCGGGTTCCAGTAGGGAAGGGTTCTAGGCTTGTCGTGTGTCACGCTGGGTCAGCTAAATATGGTTTTATAAAAGACGCACAGCTCGTATTTCAATCAAAAAGTAATGTTGATTATCACCAAGAAATGAACCATATAGTTTTCCACGAATGGTTTCTCGATTTACTGAGAAGCCTAGAAGAGCCATGTATTATTGTAATGGATAATGCCAGCTACCATTCGAAACAACTTAACAAAATTCCATGTTCAAGATCTAGAAAGGCAGACATTGTGAAGTGGCTATCAGATAATGGTATTGAACACAATCCAGTCCACACAGTAGCAGAACTCCTTACCACCGTGCGGCAGCACAGGCACAGCTTTCCTCCACGGTACGAACTGGACGAGCTTGCGTTGCAGATGGGTCATGAGGTTATTCGCCTACCACCCTACCATTGTCAATACAATCCCATAGAGCTAATTTGGGCTCAAGTGAAAGGGGAGGTGGCGCAAAAAAATACGTGTTTCAAAATAAAGGATGTCAGGAACCTTCTAGAAAATGCCATGAACCATGTAACAGTAGAAGACTGGAAGAAATGTGTAATTCATGCTGAAAATATCCAGAAAGAAGATTTTTTAAAAGAAGGACTTCGTGACGAAATCATGGAACCATTTATTATAAATCTGCATGATGACACTGACTCTGATATCGAAGATGATGGTGAATATCTTTCCAGTTATGAGAGTGAATGATGTAATGGAACGTCTCCAGTACTTTGTTAACGTCCACATTACAGTTAACATTTGTTAAATTTACATCATTAGGTTCATTTTGTGGTTGGTTGTATATATAAAATTATATTTATATATTTTTACGAGTTTTGTTTTCTATTTGGTGTGTACTAAGGCATATTGGCCTTTTATTATTAGGGATTTGAAATATTTATACAATTAGTAAACAATGGAAAAAGCAAAAAATGTAATATAACTGCTACATACAAATGGTTTAATTTGTGTGCACCTCCAAACATAACTCGTTCATTCAAATAGTATGATCAATTTGTTATGATAGTTTATCCTCAGTAATAGAAAATTATAGCAAAAAATATACTGTATAACAAAACAAGTCTAATGAAATGACTCCATTGATCATGACCTCAGACCTATAGATACATATTAAAGGCAAAGTACTAGCTCACTTACTCACTCAACACAAATGCTCCTACTTGTCATTTACCTAGCGAGTTCAATGTTGTACACTGATTATTCAGGCATAAACAGGATAACCCAATGGTTTTCGTCCTGATCCAGTTAGTGAGCGTAGCGAACAAACTTTAACCAGGACGTGATTGAGCCATGCGAACGAGCTCATTTATGAAGTTAAACGGGGCAAAGCCCGCAGGTACAGCTAGTGTTTTATATATGTATTTAAAGCTTAAATTTTCAAGTTTTATTAGAAACTTAGTATAACTCGATATGAGCACCATTAGTGGCCCGGCATAAATCTAAGCGAAATTTGACCTTTTCCCAGGTATCGGTCAGTACTTCAGAGGATGTTGCACCAACACATGTGACTATTCTCTGTCGGAAGTGATTCAGATAACGAATCTGCACCGAGTAGACATCATTCTTTACTGACCCCAAAAGGAAAAAGTCCAGAGAAGTCGTATCTGGACTCCTAGGAGGCCATTGGATGGGCCCTTCCCTGCTAAATCCATCAATCGTCGAACTAGTATCCAGCGCCTCTCGCACACTAAAACTGTAGTGTGGCAGCGCTCCATCCTGTTGAAAATAGACAGGGACATTCCCCATCTCAATGCCACCCAGTTATGGGGAAAAATACTCATCTAACATGTCACATTAAATGGCAACACAAAAATAATTGACTTATTGGTATTGTTTAATGTAACTGTTGTAACTATATAATAATAGATAACGCTTGTATCCCCTGAAGTACTGACCAAAACCCGGGAAAAGTTCAAATTTCACTTAGATTTTTGCCGGGCCACTGATGGTGCTAATATCGAGTTATAGCCTACTAACTTTCTAATAAAACTGAAGAATTTGAGCTTTAAATACAGGGCCTGATTACCCATTAGGCTAATTAGGCTGGAGCCTAGAGCGCCAGTCAGCCAAGTGTTTTAGGGGGGTGCCAGACAGCTAAGACTTAAAGTTGGGACCGGGGGCGTAAAAAATGTTTTATACCAAAAAAGGATTCGCGCAGATAGGGAAATATATACATATATAAAACATTAAACATAGTCTCTTAAAAGGTAACAGTATTTGCCTTTAAAATGTTTCAGTTTTTTTTTCGGACACCCGGCATTTAAAACAATCCATCAAAAGCATAAAGCATAAATGCTAGTCCAGGATTAATATTACATTATAACAACACTTCTAATGAAATTAAAATTGATACGTAGATTATTATTGTTAAAATAATTCTTCTAGTTTTATTATATGTGTAGTTCAATTATAATAAACAAATGCTTTCTAAAATACCTGTCTGCAATACAAAACAGATGATTGTTAGGGGGATTTTAGTATAGAAAAGGGTAAATGAGTGGGAGATTTACCATGATAGGGAAATCATATGTTGAATTCCAACCGCACAATTATTTTAGACAGACTTTAATTTTTTTTTTTTTTTTTTTTTTTTTTTTTTTTTTTTTTTTTATCAGAATTTATTTTACAATCTGTTCAAACTTCAAATATGAGAACAATAAGTAAAACATATATCAAACAATGTCAGGAAGCAAGCACCTGTTCATCAACAAGTCTTGCCAAAAATTTGATCAGTCATTTAAACATTTACAGAAATCTGTAGCTTAGGTCCAGCACATGCACAACACTTTTTAACCTGTTAATGCACTGACTATTGTCCAGCAGATTAACAGCAAGACTGTTCGGATGATATTCTAATTTTTCTTGATAATTTTTGCTAAGGTCTGTAATTTCTTCTTTCACTGATTTAATTTTGAAGTCATTCCTAATTGTAGTGTTGGATACGAACCAGGGTGCGCCAATAATTCTTCTCAGTGCCTTAGCCTGAAATCGTTCAAGAATTTCGATGTTGGATTTGCTCGAGGTCCCCCAAAGTTGAATTCCATATGTCCAAATTGGTTTGATCATAACTTTATACAGTAAAATTTTGTTAGCCAATGATAATTTTGAATTCGTACCTAGTAGCCAATTGAGTTTACGAAGTTTTAATTCCATTTGCTGTCTCTTGCACCAGATATGAGATTTCCAATTTAATTTTTTGTCAAGAGTTAGACCTAAATATTTTACACTGTCTGCCTCCGTTAAGGCTACATTATTAATGGTTACAGGAGGATTGTACCCTGTTCTCAGAGTAAAAACAATATGTTTGGACTTGTTTTCGTTGACTTTTATCCTCCACTTTTTAAGCCAATACTGGAGTTCAGTCAAGGCAGCTTGTAGATTTATGTAAGCGACTTGAGGGTCCACATGACTCGACAACAGTGCGGTGTCATCAGCAAACGTAGCAACTGTGACGTTGGGGACCATAGGGATATCTGCTGTATATATCAAATATAGCAAGGGACCAAGAACACTCCCCTGAGGTACTCCAGACTTTATCGGCTTCAGATCAGATAACGAATTTTCGAATTTTATTTGAAAAGATCGATTAGTCAGATATGATTTTAGAAGGTTGTACAAAGAGTGAGGGAGAGACGTTTTGAGTTTAAACAGAAGTCCGACATGCCACACCTTGTCAAACGCCTGTTGGACATCCAAAAATGCAGCAGAACAGTACTGTTTTTTCTCAAATGTGTTTTTTATAATATCCACTAATCGGTGGGTTTGTTGAATGGTAGAATGTTGTTTGCGGAAGCCGAACTGATGATCTGGTATTAAGTTTAATTCATCAACAGTGGGAGTTAACCTTTTAAGTATTACCTTTTCAAACAACTTTGATACTATAGGAAGCAAGCTTATGGGTCTGTAAGAAGATGCGTCATTAGGTGGTTTGCCTGGTTTTGGGATAACAACTATTTGTGCAATTTTCAGTTGAACAGAAAAATATTCCAATCGTAACATAGCATTAAATATAAATGTCAACAACATAATGGCTTTACGAGGTAGTTCTCTTAAAATTTTTCCAGTGATGAGATCGTACCCAGGACTTTTCACGGGGTTAATTTCCTTAAAAATTATTCTTGAAACCTCTGAAGGAGTGCAAGATTTTATAGGCAGTGACAACTGATTTGGTGCATCCAAAAATTCGTAAATTTCACTTTCGTCATTGGGGGGATTCGGAGTAATAGGCTTAAATACATCAGAAAAGTAATCTTCAAAAACCTTCGCTTTTTCTTCAGGGGTTTTAGCCCAGGACCCGTCAGGTTTCCGAATTGGAGGTACATGTTGAACTGGACGTTTAATATATTTAGTAGACTTCCAAAGAGAATACTCGGTTGCTTCAGTTGGGGTTAGATTTTTCGTAAAATCGTCAAACCATGCATTTTTCAGTTCCACTAAACATCGTTTTAATTTCTGAGCTGCACGATTTAGACGAGTTTTATCAAGAGGGTCGCGTGAATTTTGCCAAATTCTCCGTAGTCTACGTTTTTCTGCTACTTTCTTCTTAATATAAATTGGGTAGTTATTTGATTTTGAGACACAGATTTTAGATTTTAGATTTTGTTATTAAGTTATTTATCACTCAACAAAAAATAGATGTATGCCTCATTTCTGAAACCCATTTCACTGATAGAAGTTTCTTCAAAATTCCTGGTTATATTGTCTACTTTACTAACCATCCAAATAATAGAGCTCATGGAGGAACTGCTGTACTAGTGCACAAAAAACTAAAACACTATGAGCTTCCTAACATGCAAAATGATTTCTTACAAGCCACGAGTATTGTTGTAAAATGTGGCAATAACGCCTCTCTTACACTCTCGGCAGTCTACTGTCCTCCACCTCATGCAATAAGTAGGGATCAATTTAGAGACTTTTTCTCAACACTTGGGCCAACATTTATTGCGGGTGGGGACTATAATGCTAAACACACACACTGGGGCTCGAGACTAGTAACTCCAAGAGGCAGAACTCTTTACAGAGCTATAACAGAAATGAATTTGGATTGTGTATCTTCAGGTTTACCTACTTACTGGCCAACTGACCGAAATAAAATACCGGACCTACTGGACTTTTTTGTAGTTAAAGGTATACAATTGAACTACACGAATATCGAATCATCCCTTGATCTTCCTTCAGACCACTCCCCTGTAATCATAACTTACAGTACTAGTATATGCTTGAAGGAAAAATCCCCGTCGTTGTGTAATAAGAATACAAACTGGGATTACTTTAGGACCCTTGTAAATAACAGTATTGATCTTAAAATCCCGTTACGGAATGAACATGATGTGGAAGAATCAATAAATTACTTCAACACTACCATACAGAAATCAGCCTGGGAAGCAACTCCAAAATCTAAAAAAAAAAAAAAAAAAAAAAAATCTAAGACTTTAATTTGAACCATTTTGAACTAAGCAGCAACAAAAAGCTGTCACAACACAACACAATGAGAACTGTCAAAGTAGGATTCTTTACAGTTAGGTTTGAGTTTTTCATTTAATGAATAATTTGTGATATTGTGCGAATGTTTGATAATTTATTTTTTTCTATTGTTTAGGTGCAATGGTAGAACATTATGGCAATGGTAGACGTGTTATACTATATCATACCGTAAATTTATGAACCAAATTTTATCAAACTGTGTCCTCCCCCCATTGCAAACGCAAAGCTTGAGTATAACTGCAATAAGCATCTTATACTTATATGCCAACCCCGTACGAAGGACAGGTGCTCTGCTAGTATATATATATATATATATGAATTTGAACAGATGTTGTTTTTGGCCTCTAGGGACCTCAAAATGAAAAAATAAATCGGTCCCGGGTCCAGGTCTTACCATGAGTACTACGGTAATAGCTTATTCCCTATATGGGAAATTTGCTAAAAGATGTTTTAGTTGGTTATATTGTTAAATCCCATTGTATGACTTGCCTACACTGAACAATATCCTGGTTATGATCAAAAACTTTTGTCTGACTACATAATGACTATTTTTTGCATCCCAAAATAGTACCGTAAGTTAAGTTTTAATATTTACAACTGCTGGTGTTGATTTATTACACTTCATAAAAATATCAGTTGTACAGTACAGAAACTAAGAAATTCTCAGTGTGTTTAACAGTTCCGTATCTGTCAAAGAAGTCTGGATCACTGCCAAATTAGACTTGACATTCACCCAGAAACTCTAGTTTTGTACAGAGCGCTTAAATAAAGTGCCTACAATAACTTAACCTATCTTCAGACACTGACCTGGGCTTCAACCTTTTGTAGAATAGGTCAGTACACTTTTTATTTAATCACCTTGGTTTATACAGTTGCTTTGGCCTTTTAATCGCTTTTAAAGGATAAGAGCAGATACAAATTTAACAATTACAATGATTGTAATTAATATTGCACCTTTTTTCCATCTAGGGTAAATTATAATATTTAATTCAATTTTTACAAATCAATAGCCGTTTGCTTTACTTTCACACATGGGGGTAAAAACTAAGTTCAGGATAATTAGCAAACCATAAAAATGTTGTGGTTTGTTATTTAATAACAATGACTTGTGAGCAGGAGAAAATTAGTTTGTATGATTTAAGTTCAAAAGAGAAGAGTAAGCCTACTTGAATATACAAGGTCAAGGATAAAAAATAAACAATGATAGACAACAATTAAGTGAGTTTTTCACTGGCTGATCTCAAGGCCATTCCTTGTTGTGAGACTGACTCAGTCACTTGCACACCTCACTCTCACTTTGTTTGATAACACACTCATCTCACAAGAGATTAGACCAAGGTAAGTACTACACCACTTTTAAAAACTTTCTGTACTCAAAATTTAGCATCATTGACTTATTTATTACCATACTTTATAAAGTTTATGATTTCACTGTTACTTTCAACATGAATTTACAACAACTTACAGTATTTACTTGAATTATCACTATTATCAGTGATTTGTATATACCTATAAGCTTTTTTACATTTCTATCGTCATATTTTGTAATCACCCATGAATAGTTGAATACTACTCTGTAAACTTGGTCATAAACTAACTGTTGTTTTTTTTCATCAAAACTATATCAATCTTTAGTTTATGTGATACTATGCATTTTTTGATGGTTTGCATCAGACATAGAATCTTGAAGGTACAAAAAGAAAAAAATATTCTAAGAATCATCATCTATCTATACTTATTTAATACGCAAGCAGATTTGTTGTGACAATTACTCCTCCGAAACTACTGAAACGATTGCCATGTTTTTGGTGTCATTGGAAAGAGCGTAACGTGAAGTTGTGCAGGAAACTTTTTTTATAGGGAAATAATTAGAGAGTGAGGCCCTGGGGCCCTTTAAAGATTCATATTTCTCCACAAGATTAACATAGGAAACAAACATTGTTATGAAACTCCAGCTGTTGTCAGAAATGCTATTCTGCTATTTGTTTAATTTAATTTGTTTACAAGGAGAATTGTTTCTTAGTGCCATGTGGTCGATAAGTTATACTTTTGCATATATTTTAAATGATATTCACTATATAAAATGATGGTACTGTAATACATTAAGAGATATTCATTTAAATAATTAATAAGTACGATTGAGCCTTTGCCTACATGTTTCCTGGTAAGTTTGTTGTAACTTCCTTATAGTATATTAAAGTAAAACCAAATTATTCTTTTCTGCATTCTCACCCCGTAGCGAAGCACGGGCAGAGCAACTAGTTACATTTAAGTCATGCTGATTTTCATGCAAGCCTATATTGAAAATTTTTAAATTAATGAATGACAGTCCCCAGCTTAATTATTTTAAAAACTCTTCTAACTGTTCAGTATAAATATGTTTTTTTACACAGCCAACATTTAAACTATAAATAATACAAGATTCAAAAATAATTTTCTGTACCCAAAACAATATCTCAAATTAGTATAAAAATCACCCTCTCACAAAAAAAGAATGAAACGTTAGAATGAACCTGGAAAGAAACGTTTTAATGAGCTTCCTCTAAATATGAAATCGGAAGTTCATTCTAACACTATTAGAAGCAGCCTTACTAATTTTGGCAGCTCAGTTCATATTATAAGTTAAACCATTTTTTATTTAGTTAATATCCTCGCCGCAGCAAACCTGCAGACTAAGCTAATTTCCATTTACCTGATTGGATTTTCAATTAAATCTATAAATAACATTAGGTTTAACAAGTTCCTAGGTTTGCTGCTACAGGGAGAGTAGTAAAGTGAATTTTTTTGTAAAATATTAATATCTTAGTATAAAATAAATAAATTTGCCAAGTTTAATCAAAATAGGATTTACATTTTTTTCAAATAATCCGTTTTAAAAGTGAGTTTGAATTTTAACTCCATTGGAAGTATAACATTTGGAACATTAACATAACTGTCCAGGGCCATTAAAGGAATTCAAAAGACAAATTGTATATTAAATATTTAATTCTATAAATGGTCAATTAAAATGTTGGTAAATGTATTTTCTATTTTCTATTTAAAAAATCACAGAGTAACAATTTGAGCACAAGAATATAGTCAGTGTTTAAAATCAATGTTAAAGCTTTGACTATTAATACAACAACTAAAGTCTGCAAACAATAATAAAACATATGTCATTTATACAGGTGATCAATATTTTATTTTGCATTATGAAAACTTTATTCTGGTTTATGTTTTTTGACTGTCAATTTAATGAGTTGGGAAAATATTTATATAGTAGGCTAAACTCCTTCTGAAAACTACCAGTTCTTAATGATAATCTTGCCAATAAATCCTGACAGCTATTTTAGTGATGGTGAATTTTATCATTTTATTCAAGATGAGTAATAGACGACAATGCTAACTTAGTTCTACTAGTACAAAGTTACCAAGCAAAGTTATCAATGATATAAAATTATTGTTTTTATTCCTATCTTAATTCAAAATGGACATAAAAGATAAAAGTATATTTGAAAATAACTTAGAAAATGTTGCAGGCAAATTGTGGACACTCCGAAATGCATTGGATGAGCTTGAAACTAAGCTAAATAGGACTGTGTCAACCATTCAATGTCTCATGGAAGAGGAACATTTCGAACTAGACAAAACAAAGTCTATAAACTCTTCAAGCTCTTATCAAGAGGAAAAATCAACACAAAAAAGTGACACTTTACGAAAAAGAATGGTTAATACAGTGGATGTTGACAATGATGCCAAACAATCTGAAGACAAAGCCAGTGACAGCCTGAGGACTAAGCACTACACTTGGAAGACTTGCGACTACTGGAGTTTACCCAAGTGGCGGCAAGACAACTATTTTATTCTCAAAGGCTACAGACCTTCGTTGCCATCATTCTGGGCGTGTTTCCTCTCAATTTTTCGAATTCACACAGAATCGGGAAATATTTGGACTCATGTGTTTGGATGTGTACTTTTCCTTAGTTTATTCCTCCACGTGTCACTGAGTTCTCTTCCACTAGAAGACAAGTTAGTACTGTCACCTTTCTTTATCGGTGCCATTCTCTGCCTTGGCTTCTCATCGTCCTACCACACTCTGATGTGTCACTCACAATCAGTCTCGTCCATGTTCAATCATCTGGATTACTGCGGAATAACTTTACTCATCATCGGTTCCTTCGTCCCTTGGGTTTACTACGCCTTTCTGTGTGACAGTCGACTCAGGCTTCTCTACATTGCTGCTGCCCTCGCACTCGGCACCGTTACTGTTGTTCTCTCCCTCTCTCCGAGATTCATCACCCCAGTGTACCGTACAATCCGAGCGACAGTGTTTGTTGCCTTAGGCCTCAGTGGAGTGATTCCTGGTTTACATTTCATAGTGCTGAACGGAGTGGAGACTTTAATTAGTTTTGCAGCACCGTTGCTCCTTTCTGCTTTCCTCTACATACTTGGAGCAGTTTTTTATGCCACTAGAGTTCCTGAAAGGATCTTCCCAGGGAAATGTGACATCTTATTTCAAAGCCACCAAATCTTCCATGTGCTAGTTGTAGTGGCAACTTTAATAGACTACTTTGGAATCATTCAAATTGCAACAGTCACTCAATTTAGCAGAAACGACCCAAGCTTTTGTCCAAACAAGCAATATGAAAATGAAAACCCAATACATCAATATTTATGATTATAGTAGTGTTTTTCAAGCGTTGTTAGGACAAATTTACTTTGCAGCTCAATAGTGGAATTACTAAACTGGTTAACCAAGGTGTTTTTGATGAGCCTGATTTAAATTATAAGGATAGCTACAGCAATAAAAAATAAAAGCTATGTTTCATATCAGAAAAGTATATTACTCTATTAATAAACTCAGCATTCTAAAATAAAAATAAAAAAACACACACAAATCATTCTGAGTAAAATCCAGGCCAAAAAGTAAAAAAATATACTTAGGTACACCTAAAATACAACATAAAATATTTTTTGCCATTTAGGCCTAAGTTATACAGCTTATCTTGTAGGGATGCAAATTTGAGAATTATGACAAACAAAAACCCTATATGCCTAGTTGCCTTCATGCAAAGCCGCACTAGATATACCTGGTGCGGCCTTGCTTCATGTTCTAATAGAATTTGGTCCAGACACTGTAAAAGGATGAATATTCTTACTGTAAGCCCTAGTTGTAAATTAGTCAAATCTTCAGTCAAATTAGATTCAGATTGTATTAGCCTATCGATTTGAACCATTTCAGACTATTGCAGTTAACAGCATAAACAATAGTATTATCTACAACAAAACACACAAAAACACTTGGTTTTTCATGTTATGTGGCTGAATATCAAGAAACCTAAGTCAGATGAAGAAAGTTTTCAAATACTGTAGGCCTATGCAGGGTGTCTACTACATTCTGGATAAAAAATTCATGGACAATTCCCGTACATTTCAGGACACTTTGTCGTAACCTTTGTCGGTGTGATTACTAAATAATTTTCCTGATTTGACAAACTATATTAATCTTGTTTTTCACTGCAGTTGTACCAGAGAGAAAAGTAAATAATAATAGACAAGAGTTAAATTTCAAAATAGAAATTTATTGAAAGTAAACAAACGTATACTTTAGGTAAAGGTTTTATAGTGTAACAGAAAAACGCAATCATTAATCTATACTTATTTAATACGCAAGCAGATTTTTTGTGACAATTACTCCTCCGAAACTACTGAACCGATTGTCATGTTTTTGGTGTCATTGGAAAGAGCGTAACGTGAAGTTGTGCAGGAAACTTTCTTTTTAGGGAAATAATGAGAGAGTGAGGCCCTGGAGCCCTTAAAAGTTTCGTATTTCTCCATAAGATTAACATTGGAAACAAAAATTGTTATGCAACTCCAGCTGTTGTCAGAAATCAAAAGTGAGAAGAGCATATGTTAATTAAACAGTCAATAAGTTTGCTAATTTAACAGTTTGCTACAAATATTTGCTGACTTGGTTGAAATTCGTTTTGAAATAACGCCTGTAATATTTAGCAATTGCTCGAATTCGAGCAACAGGGACACTAGTTAAACATTAATGCAAACAACAATGCTTGTGGTTTTGTCAATTGAGAGATAAAATATCTATAAAAAAGGGTTTAACTTACAAAATAAGACTGTAGACTAGTTACATGTTCAATATGAAACCATAAACAGTTTTATGGCACTAGGCAATGGCCGGCGGCAAATTGAATCTTTAGGACGAAAGTATAAGTAAGAAGTGAAATTTAACAGCCGTTAGGGTCATTTTCAAACTGGATGCAACTTTACAGTCCTAAACATTTTAGGATTAAAAAAATATATATATCTTAACAATTTTAGTTAAAAAAAAGTATTGAGTGAAGAAACACATATATAAGAACCCACTTTTGAATTGTCATTGATTTTTGAGTCATAATTTCTTTTATATAAAATTTTGAATCTAGGTAACTCATTGTTTTCCTACTGTCCTTTAACATGAACTTAACGATACAACTTTTAATTAAGCTGTTTGCAGCAAGTATATAATGTAAATACCTTATTAACAATGAAGTATTTTAACCATAAAGAAACATTGATAGCAAAATTCAATTTTAATATGCATATATTTTTTTATAACAATTTTTGAACAACTGTCCCCCACAATCGGTCCTGAGTGTTACTTCAGGAATGTTACCCAATGAAAACAGGGAAAAAAGGAAATTTTGTTTTTGTTTTGTTGGCAATAAGCAGCCATATTGTTTCTAGTTTCCATCAATGTGGAAGTTTATGATTTAAGTTAGAAGAAAACCAGAATACATCAAGAATACGTTTTAATAATGATAAGTATTTTAATTCATTGTCAAGAGTGTTACTATTTTTTTAAAGTGATATGCATACTTTAGAAAAGTTTACTTAATATCAGTTGTTTAGTGTTCATGTACTATGAATGTAAACCTAACCTCCAAATTCTGGTCTTTACCCAGAGTCCACTTTTATAATTGAATAGTAACATTAGTCAGGAGTGTTACCTGTCAGGAGTGTTACCTACAGTCATGAATGTTACTGAATATAAAAATAATATAACTGAATATAAACTTTTATATAGGCCTATGTACTTTTTTTGTTAGAAAATAAACTTTTATAATTAAAAACTGGCTTTATTTTATTGAATTCCCAATGTATAATTCAGGAGTGTTACTTATTGTCATGAGTGTTACCTACAGTCATGAATGTTACTGAATATAAAAATAATAAAAACTAGTATAGAAAACTCTAAGTTTGTATATTTAGTCGTTTGTTTATATTAAGGAAAGATATCAATACACACTAACAACAATCATTGATAATCGATTGAAATTTTCTTGGTTATGTTGAGTAAATTAAAAAAATATAGTTTCTTTTCTGCTGTCGGGTAACACTCCTGACACATAAAAGGTTAATAACAAAAAATAAAATAAAAAAATTCTAAAAACAATATATTATAAGGTCTAGTAAGTTATTTATGACACCATTTTGTTCCAGTATAAAATTTTTTTATTCAAAGAAACAGTTTTTTCCATAATCTTATTACAGTAACACTCATGACATTTTAAGGGTAGGACCCAATAAAAAACAGTAAAAAATCATAAATTACTGGATAAACTGAAAAAATTTCTATTAGGTAGTGTTTATTAATATATGTTGAAATGTTGTTTGTAAAAACAAAGGGGCTCTAGCAAAGTTTTTATTTAATCCATTCTTAACTTGAAAGTTGCATTCAATTTGAAAATGACCCATTATAAAACTATTATTTTCATGATAAAATAGGTTTGGGATCTCGGTCTAATAATAATTACCCTAGTAATAAATAAAGAAGTTGTAAAGGAATAAAAGTTGTACAACTTTTATAATGAGCTAGCTACTGAGTCAACAGTTCTTGGAAGTACTTGACTTGACACTTGATTGTCGTGATAAAATATTTAATGGGTTTGAGACTGCTAATGGGGTTTTTATTGCATAATTACCCTAATAAGTTATGAAAATGTAAACAAACATCTGATAAACCTTTTATGTGCTCCTAACCAACTAGCAATCAACAAAAATTATGGCCCATTAAAAATTTAAGGACATAGTCTGGCATTTAAGGACAATTCCATACATTTCATGGCCAGTAAAAAATTAAGTACAATTCCCGGTTTTCCCGGTTTTCCCGGATTTCCCGGTTGGTAGACACCCTGTGTATGACATTGTGTTTTGTGAATTGTTTGGTAGGTACTGTATTGTATTTAACAATCTAAAAAGATAATAAACCATCTGACCAAGTTGTATCTAGTTGTGACTCTCCCACCTACCTTGATAAGCAGCCTGCGCAAGCATCCAAGAATACCCAGCCAACATAGCCTGGGCGTGGACTGTGTGATCTACATCTTCCTCCCCAAAGCTGGGCGGTCGGCCGAGCAAATGGCCCCGATTGTGGAACGACAACAATCCAAACTCACAAGGGTCCCCGGGCCAAAAACCTAACATAAATCCATACACTAGTATCAGTGCCTTATGTTTCAGGTACCAGTACAGAAACAAGTTGAGTTGTTTACAGATTTAGAAAGGGCATTCCTACTTTATTTTAACATATCAATTTGGCACTCAGAAAACACATTTGATTTTTACATTGTAATTAAAAACTAACAACTTGACCTGGTTTCAACTAAAGTAATTAATAACATTTAATTTGCATAGTTAGGCTATACAGTAATTGTAAGGCTTTTTGATGGAGGAAAATATCCAATGAGTTTGGAAACCTAGATTCAATTTTCCTCACCTAACAAAGTAGGCCTAAAAAAATTTTTTGTTGATTATCTAGTTAGGGGGGTCAGCTCAAGTGGGTTTTCAAAAGATTTAATTTGAATTAATTGTTGTACAGTGTAGTGTATGACTTTTTGGTGGACGAGATATCCAATTCCCAGAAATGGTTATAATCTTACAGACTACTGGATTTTGAGCCAGTGGGTCATGAGACTATCACACATAAAATAGCCATTGGTTGGACTATGTACTAGGCCTTCAGGGAATAAGTCCTTAAGTCCAGTTGGGCCCTACAGTTTAGATCAGGTTATAGTAAGTTTTTTAACAACTACAGTATTTTGAAACAATTTTTTTATAGTGGTAGGCTACTAAGAAGAACTAACACCAAAATTAATGATAACATTATTGATTTTTTATGACACAGCATTTTCATTTAAGACCTAAAAGCACTTTAACATTAGAAAATGGTACATTTATAGCCCTGGGCCTAAGGGTTGGGCCTGTATCCTAAGCTGAATATTGTTCATGGTGTGGTGTGGCAGAGTAGGCTTCTTCCTCTACTGCTCAATTTGACTCAGTCATACCTAAGGGAATTAGTGTGCCCTATAGTGACAAATAATCGTATGCCTGTTACGCCTACAAATAAAACAGTGTGATTTGGTGGTTTCTCTACATGTTTATGTTCATTTCATACCAATCTCCACACTGATCCATCAACATGAACATTTACACTTTTTTTGTACAGCAATAAAATATGTAAAAGTTGACTGATTTGTGTTAATTTGTTATCAAACTAACAAAAATGTTTGGAGAAACGAAACCACAATATTTCGTTGCTTAACTTTATTAGTAATATATTAATGAAAAATACTTGTTGCTGGGATCCCAAATGTGAGTTCAGTTGAACAGCAGTAAGGAGACCAGCCGTAGCACCTGTGAACAATGTCCAGTAGGGATGGGCAAGTCTAGAAATTTCGAGAAATTTTCAGGAAATTTTTAATCTTGCTCTAAGAGAAGAGATTTTATTTTTAACAAGATTTTTTCTAGATGATATTATATATTTAAACCCGGTTAAAAATGCCTGCAGAAAGTCAATGCAATACCCGCAATACAGGAGCGTGTTGTTGCGTTTCCTTTGCGAAGGCGTTCTTATTTAATTAATTCTTTACATGTAAATATTGCTTTAATTGTGTTTTAATTTTGTGTTATAATATTGCAAATGATGAGAAGTTTTGTTAAGTGTAAGCAGTGTGAGACATGTTTTATTACTGTAAACATAGCCAAAACTAGTTACTCCAAAATCATTCTAAAAATAACACAACACTGAAAAATTGTTACTTGATACAGTAATTAACTAGTTGATAAATATGGTATTTTTCAAAGTTGAACTATCCTAACCAATATTAACCTATGCGTAAGAGTCATTTTTAATAAGGTACTAGCTGTTAGCCCGTCCTACGTACGGGAATAAAGTAGTCGATTATATCTTAATATAATCCAGAACAGCTAGGTATGCCTAACTAATTAATATATTTTTTATAACTTACTGATGTTTTTATTAATGTTGTTTGATAAAGATTTTAAATTTTCTTGCCTATTATTATTATTTTTTTATTTAACTAGTCATCTGTCATAAATCAGTAGGTATTTAACAATGTTAAATCAGGTTAAAACAGCACACGTGCATTTCTTGTTATGTATGAAGCGAAATCCCGTTTCAAACTAAAAATTCAATCACGTCCATCCCTAACATCCGGCAACGTCTCCATATACGCTCTAAGGCTATTGTTTCCAACACTAAGCTAGATGAATCTACCTGGAATGTTGGTTCCGTGTCTTCTGATTTTCTCCAGTCCATAAAAGCCAGGGTCATATCGTAGGGAAGGTACATGCTGTAGGTCAAACTCACTGTTCGCTGTCTCAGATGATTGCCATTCCAACAACCTCAAGGGCTGCGGATGCCTCAATTGCAGCACCGGAGTTCCGATATATTGTATAAAATGCCCTACCAGATCATCAGGATCTTCTTCGTTTTTTCTCTTGGCATGTCGATTCTTTTCCAACTCTTTTTCATAATCTTCCTTATCTTTAACACGCTTCTTGTAGGTTTCATTGTCAGGATAGAACCCTCCGACCCTCCAAAATGCTTCGATTCGCGGTTCAAAGTCGACCTAAAACAATTTAAGAATTCATAAATATAATGTATAAAAATAACGGTATATTTTGCACATATGCATGGAGAAAAGTAACAACTACATTTCAATTACAGTAGGAAAGTGATACAAGAGAGGCAGAGATATTTACTTAACTGTTACCTCAATGCTGTACACAGGGATGTTCACAACAAACTGATTAGGTTAACAGTGATATAGTGATTAGCCTAACACAAAACAGTAAATATTGAGCTTTAGGCTACATGTTTTCAAAATAATATGTAAGGGTTCAATCTTATCACAGATCTATGTGCACATAAAAAAAAACATAAAATGAGATTAAAATGAAACGTTATGACAAACCAAACATTAAGTTACAGTAAGAACGCCAATAATACAAACTACAATCATTTGGATTGCCAATTATCTAGATTACTTTAAATAAGGATAAAAACCGTAGGTAGTTTGGCATATTGATCTGTGAGTGATGAGCCATCTTCCTAATGCCCACTTTTTTTATTTTTAATCAAATCATTCAGATTGTTGACCATACAAATGGGCTCTGTTCCCAATTGATCTGGAGTTCTACTGTAACTTATATTTAAAATAGACTGTAGCCCTACTGTACCTCGGTGTGGTAGAGGTGAGGTGCTCCACTTGCAAGGTTGGCAGTAAGAACACGATTAATCTGTTCAACAACTCCTTTGGTGATTTCATTGCTTATCTCACTGTCTCCCATCTTCTCTTTAGACCCATCGTACTCAAATAGATGTCTTAAAAATCCACAAAATAGAGGATAAGGTCACAATCTTGTATGATCTATATATACTAGATTTCATTCTATAGGCCTACATTTTACTGCATTCATAATAAGCTCAAAAACAAAGCTTGGACATACCTAATAAACATAAATAAAGCTTAAACATAATAAGAGCTTAAAAATTAAGTGTGTCGCTGTCCTAATAACAAGTTAGGCTTTAAAAATCAAAATCTTTGGTTTCTATTTGTTTGTCTCCTTTTTTGACTGTTTCTATTGTATCGATACAAATATCCAAAGATCAATCAATCAATCAATTATCAATTATTTAAGATGTGGACGCCACTATGTGCGTATTTTAACCGAAATATGAGTGAAGGATGAGTGTAGGATGAGTGGCGCGATCTTGTAGTCTTGTTAGTGACTAAGGCCGACATGTTCCTTAGACACAGATGTTAATTAATAGCCCATACAAAATATTTCGAAAAGTATTTAAAAACTTTGACATCAATGGCAACTAAGGGACCTACAGTTTATAGTGGAATCCGGATCCACATTTTTTCCTTGTAATTTACGAATTGGTCTAATTATTAGGATAGTCGTAGTACTCACTAGTGCGGACGTTAATCCACACCAGGGAGCATCGCATCCACAGTGCATCCCTATAAATATCCACAATTCGTGACCTCCTAGTAGCTGGATTACAGGACGACGCCACCCGACCCTGAGATTTCCTTAGGTTGAATTTAATAATAAATTAATACAGAACACTATAATCCTAAGTAGGCTAAGCTAGGCCTATATCAGATGAGGGTGAATCCTGGAAATGAATGTTCACTAGAGTTGGGATTTTAGAATATAACCACAGAGAAGGACGGTACCTACCTACAGAGAAAACATGCTACACTTAAAAGGTGTCTAACACCAGCCTAGTAGTGCTGGTGTTAAGGGTAAAGTCTAACACCACCCTCCTCGCTCTCGTGTACTACAACAGTCACGGTGGAAGAAGACGCCGCGCCCTGAGCGATAGGAATTTCCGCACAGTGCTTGCCGTTCAGGCTCTTCCTCGCTATTAATACAAGTATATTTCTGGCACAACATACGAGGGAGTTGAAAGCGCACAGTTATTTGATAAATAGGCCTACTGTAGTAATTTGTTCAACGAATCCAAGTTAAGTTACAAGTGTGCCTGCTTAGAAAGATCTAGGCCTACCTATGTGCTCGTCCAGAAATTAAAAGGTCACCGATTCGATCCTGAGAAAAGTCAGTAGCTTTTTGAAGGTTTGAAACCGGACCCAGCTGTTCCCGATCAATATGAATAATTGGTCCTGACCACGATTACTAGAAAGATACCGGTATGGATCATAAACATAAACAAATGACGTTTTGGCCCGAAAATAAACATGATTTAACATTGCTTAAATGGAACTCTGCCAAAACATATGTTCAATGCTATTAGTATAGGATTCGGGCCAACAACCTCATTTTGTTTATGTTTATGATCCATACCGGTATTTTTCTAGTAATCGTGGTCCTGACTATTGAATCAGCTGATCTTAGTCAGTAACAAAGCAACAAAGATCATCTAACATCATTCCACACTCATACTTTACTCATTTTTGGGTTTGAAAAATACACATCATGGCGTCCCCATTTCAAATAATTGGATTTAAATTGGTAACTTCATTAAGCATAAGTTATACTACAGGTAACACTTCAATTACCTTATTTTTGACAATTCCATTAATAAAGCATCCTGCAGCTGAGGACGAATAATTTTAATGACATTTTTAACATGGCTCTCGTCATGACTTTGGGGGAAAGGAAAAATTTCGGTTGTTTGGAAGTCTGTTCTTGTAATATGTTGAACAAATGGCATGAAGTTAAAAGGATAATTCCCTTCCTGTAGCACAATTGAACTCCAACCATAATAGCGTGGCATGTTTATTCCAATCAGCTTTTCTTCGACAGTTCCGAGTCTCTTCATTTTATCAAGTTTGGCATCTCTTTCTCTCTTGTAAACTTCACTAGGAGATGGGTCCAAAATTGGTGGATAATTTGAGTCTGTGGAGTGAGTACCGACTACAACTGCATCAGTAGAATAACTAAATTTGCTGTTTGTTGCACATTTTCTGAATAATGCAACTTCATTTTTAGCAATCAGAAATTGTACTTTCTTAAGGTTCAGTTGTCTTAATGACATCTTTGCTGGTGAGAATATAACTAATTACTGTTCAGGCCTATTAATCCTACGAAGTTAAAGCAAATAATACCATTATTTTAAGTATAAAACAAACCGAAGATCGACATGCTAAAACCATTAGTGTAGGCCCTACTGTAGGTAGACGAAACGTTGTCTTCTTGTCACGAATTAGGCTTAGGTCTTTAGTAAGTTAGGCCAACGGAATAATTTTAAATTACTTTGATAGTATAACTACCATAGCATAATTAATCAGAGTAATTCGAATTTTGGTTTCTGTCGCATACACTCACAAACTAAGACATAAATAAACGTAAAACATAACCTAATAACAGTACAGAAGTAAGTAACCCCGACCCAGAAGCAGAAGCAGAGAGCAGCAGAGCAGACATTTTTATCGTTCTTCTTCTTCTTCTATTCTAGTTTGCTTTATTAAAGCTGGCTTGATTAAACTGACCATGCAGCCACACTACTTCATTAATACAATTTTCCCGGGCTTTTTTTTAATAAAATGCTAGCATGATGCTAGTTAGGAAATTTTCAATTTGAATGTTTTTTTTAATATTTAAATATATCTCAAAGTCGGATTCCTGTTTCTTCAAAAATCGTATTAATGGTGAGAAGCAATTTAGTGGGTTGCATTTGTCCAGACCATTGAGCCTTGAGACATATAATATTAAAATGAGCTAACTATAATTATGCTATAATCCATACAACTGGGTAACCAAGTCGTTATTAGTGCTCGTCCTTTTCTCGGTTCAAAAATGTTGATCTTTTGTGAAACTTTAATTTCCAACACTATCAATTATTGAATATAAATTTTTGATTCTATCGGAACAGATTGCGGCAAAGGTACAACCTAACATACTATATACATTGTTTGAAAAAAAATAATTGATTAAAAATCCTTTGGTTAGTTAGGTCACTAACCAAACTATATCTAAGAAAACGATCGATATTTTGATTTGGTTATTAGCGAATTTCCCATATAGGGAATAAGCTATTACCGTAGGTCTCATGGTAAGACCTAGACCCGGGACCGATTTACTTTTTCGTTTTGAGGTCCCCAGAGGCCAAAAAAACCATCCGTTCAAATTCATATATATATATATATATATATATTTATATATATATATATATATTTATATATGTGTCCGTTAGCGCGATAACTCGAGCAAAATTGATCCGATTTTGATGAAATTTGGTACAAACGTGTAAACCTACATTTATTCGAACGAGTTCGCGAACCAGCATAATCGGACCATGGGATCAGGGGTTTATGGGGGGTTTTATGGGGTAAAAATGGGTTTTTCTCATTTTTGACCCTAAAAACTTTAAATTTCTAAATTTCTCTCTAGACCATTTTGAGGAGCTTAAAAAAACAAATAATTTAGTATATTGAAGTGTTTTTGAATGTTCATTGACTACGGAGAAAATTAAAAAATTGTAAATTTAAAATTCCCATGTTATTCTTATGGAGAATAAATAAACTGTTTTAGTTTGCTTGTTTATGGAAATATTTTAATCAAATTTGGCAATTTGGTTTATTTCATACTAAGCTATCAATATTTCAATTAAAAAAAACACACCTCAACAACTTCCCCATAGCAGCAAACCTAACTACTCACTAAAATTTATGTTATTTAAATAGGAAATAAATCTGAAAATTTATAGGGAATATTTTAGAAGAAATCAAGCCGGGTAAATGGAAATTCGCTTAGTATGCAGGTTTGCTGCGACGGGGGTATTTTTTACAACAGATAAGAAAGTTTACCGTTAATATTTATAATTTCTTACAAAAAGAATGAAAATTAAACTCTTAAGCTAATAGGGGTTTCTAGATACTGGCCAGAGGCGACGATGCCGTATCATCCTACGTAGGATGAAGCAGAGTCCCAGAGCAAGTTTCGTATACTCCTCAAGGAGTATGTTTAATCTATGGTTTTATCTATGGTGATACGTCCAAGCCATGAATGCGCTCGTACACGGCCACCTTTAACTACAGGCCGCGGTCTGGTAGAATTGGCAAGTGGTGTGTTGTTTAGTGACAGACGTCCTATAAGATAACATGGCAGACAGGTGACATCAGCTCATTAATTCGCACTTTATTTATTGAAATTTATGAACATAAATTTATTAAAATATTCAAAATAAAACATACAGACAGTGGCGTTGCTTGGTTAAATTCCAGGGGGGGGGGAGAAGCCTCAAATTTCCCAACTACTTAACATAGATTTCCAAACTATTTTTTTTTATATAAATCAATTTCTGTACTATTTTTAAAAATATACAAATTATTATACTACACTGCAGTAACATTCGATTCAGTAGCCTATTTATAAACTTGCATTAACAAAACATAGCTAGTTTTACATATATACAAAATTACTCAATTTCTAAAACTTCTACCAATTCATAATGAAATTTTATGACTTCAAAAAACTTAAACAAGTAATGTTTCAAATCCAAATACTTTACAAACCATTGTGGTAGCAGACGTAGCAGTGTAAAATTTTAGGGATATAAAATAAGCCTCAGAGTACAAATTAGTATAGAAAAAATATTTTATTACAAAATAGTGAAATTAAAATACTTTTAGAAGTTAAGATCAACATTTTAACTTTCATAAAACTTACAAATAGGGTACGCCTAAACAAGTTTGTAATGATGAAATATTAATATCAGTGTTGTGAATAATATTATTCTAGTCTAGAAAAGAATAAACCTAAAATAAGACTCGTATAAAATAAAAACGTTCAACTTGGTTGATAATAAACTTATACATACAATAAATACCCCCGCCGCAGCAAACCTGCAGACTAAGCGAATTTCCATTTGACTGATTGGATTTACACTGAAATGTCTACTTAAAAATATAACATTTATTCCCGATTTAAATATAATTAGTTTAACAAGTACTTAGGTTTGCTGCATCAGGGAGGGTAAAACTGTTTTTTTGTGTAAAATGTTAATAGTTAGTAAGAAATAAAAACAGTTTCCAAATTTGATCAAAATATGTTCATAAACAAGCAAACTACAACAGTTTACTTATTCTCCATAAGAATAACATGGAATTTTAAATTTTAAATTTTTTGGAATTTTCTCCGTAACCATTAGGTGCATAATAACGCTTCAATATACTAAATTATTTGTTTTTTTAAGCTCTACAAAATGGTTTGGAAATAAATTGCTTAATTTTATGTTTTTTGGGTAAAAAATGGGAAAAACCTATTTTTACCCCATAAAACCCCCCGTAAACACCCGTTCCCATGGTCCGATCATGCAGGATCGCGAACTCGTTCGAATAAACGTAGGTTTACACGTTTGTGCCAAATTTCATCAAAATCGGATCATTTTTGCTCGAGTTATCGTGCTGACGGACACATATATATATATATAAATATATAAATATATAAATATATATATATATACATATATATGAATTTGAACGGATGGTGTTTTTGGCCTCTAGGGACCTTAAAACGAAAAAAAAAATCGGTCCCGCGTCCAGGTCTTACCATGAGTACTACGGTAATAGCTTATTCCCTATATGGGAAATTCGCTAAAATGTTAACCTTTATCTTCATCAAACTAGAACTTAGACAAAAATCAAACTTAGAGTGAAAGTCAAACATCAATTTTAGGTTACGTTTTGTCCACATAGGTTTCAGAGTGATAAGTTGATTCATTTTTGTAAATCCTTAACTGGGAATGATAAATAACTGGTGTAGATTTTTTAAATATATTCAGAGAATAAATATTCTTTTTTGGGTTATTAAAAAATAAGAGTTTTAAAGGTAATACCGATACACAAAACCTATCTTTAATGTTATTTTAATCTGCTTATTAGCAAGTACTCTGGTCAGTTAGCCTACTCCAAATACTACAAAAAAGGTATAAAATATATTTTATGTGACTGACGTGAAACATTTTTTTGAATTTCTTGTAAACACCAACAAACAACATAATTGAACAGAAGAGCTACATTGCTTGCACTTTCAAAATTCAAACTCGCAGTCTCGCAGACGAATCATTCGGAATCATCAACACAGGACAGGATCAAGGTAGCCAACATACGTCCAGTAAGGAACAAAAACAAGCTATACCCCTAATTGATTATTGATTTCTTAAAATAAAGCGTGTTTAGCCTTGTTTAATCAAAGTTAAATGAAATCAAAGAAGCGTCAAGTTTATTTGTCCAAGTCAAAGAAATTTTTATCTTTGATGGATTTTCGCAAATATTTAAATTTTGTTCAGTTTAAAAATATTTTTCTTGTAGCCTATCTGACTTCCCAACTGTCCCAACTCGTGGCAAGGAAATTCCCAACTTTTCTCTTTTCAGATTTTAGGGGGGGAGGCTCCCCCCCACCCCCCCAAGGCGACGCCCCTGCATACTGAATTGAAACCGAAACAATGAGAATTAAAAATCTATGTACATTTTAAGCGGAGTAAATACAAAAATGCCATTAGCTGCTTCCAAACAAAACAGCTGTTACAACACCATTTGCGATGTTGCCACTTCGAAGGCCGCGGCCTGGAGTTAAAGGTGGCCGTGACTCGTTCCATCCGAGCCCTTCATTCCGGTAATGCCATTATGCCAATTGAAGATAATTTTTCCAAAAAGAATTATATGAGCGACACAGTAGAAAGCTTTCGATAAGTCGGCAAAGCAATAACCCACCACTGTCTAACCGGCTTCCACCGCATTGATACAAAAAATAATTAACAAATCAATGAGGGCACATTTTGTGGATCCGTTTTTTCTTAAATTGTCTATTGCAGACAATATTGTCATATATTAAACAACCACAAGTAGACCTTTTCCATTGTACATTTTGAAACTACTTTTTTTGTGTCTACTTCATGTACGGTGATACTGGAGCATAGTGTCGACAAATTTTGATCATATTTTTTAAGGTTAATTTTCATGATTTGAGCTTTTCTGTTTGGCTAGGCCTATATATATAGTAGTACCGGTACGCTTATTTTGCGCGTAATGGGATGAGTGAACGTGAGCGCAACAATGGAAGAGTCCATCCGCACCTAGCCTACTTACCGGGATCACTGGTGAACACAGTGTTATTTGTATAGGCAAATCAACCAAATCTCAGTCAACACAATCCTAACTTCTCGTCCATTACTTAACCAAAGTCATTGGTAATATACGTAATGGATTTCCAACAGTAAGAATAAGAATAAGAATAAGAATAAGAAAGTTTATTGCCGTTGACCAGGTTGTATACAGGAATAGGCATTGTCAAATTACATTAAACAGAATATCAATATCAATATCAACAAGTATGTTATATCTACAGCTAACAAAGATTGAGAATTCCTAGCTTACAGTGTGAATGATTCTATTGTAATTTTATGTTTCAAAAAGTCCTTGACTGAATAGAAAGGATTTGCAACAAGCCAGCTATGAATTTTGGATTTGAAAAGAGAAATAGAAAGGCTGTCTGCCTGAAGAGGCTCAGGCAGCTTATTATAAAATTTCACACAGTTGAGTTTGAAAGAATTACCTGTGATGGCTAGCCTGTGATGTGGTATATCCAGTTGTTCCTTACTTCGTGTATGGTGAGAATGGTAATTCTGCCTGGTGGAAAACTCATTGAGATTAGCTCTAGTGTATATTAGTACATTGTAGATGTATAAGTTAATGATTGTGCAAATGTTTAGTTTGATAAAAAGTGGTTTGCAGTGCTCCGCAGGGGCAGCCCCTAACATTGTGCGAATGACTTCTTTTTGTATTAGTAGAAGCTCATGGACATGGGGGGAATGACCCCAAAGTTGGATTCCATATTGAATATGGGATTGAAACAGCCCAAAATAGGCTAGTTTGAGATATTCAATATCGACAAAAGGCTTGAGTTTCCAGAATAAACATGAAACTCTCGATAGTTTTTTGCTCAAATTTGTTACGTGAGTTTTCCAGTTTAATTTACTATCGAGATGGAAGCCAAGAATTTTTACTGAGTGGTCTGATTGTTTAATAGAGAGTGAGAAATCAATTTTCTGGGTCTTGGATTGATTACAGATCAGTTTGTTTGCAGAAAACCAGTTTAAAACACTCTTTTCTGCTTTAGAAAGAGCTTCTGAGAGCTTTGTTTGGTCTTTATCAGAAGTAAAAATTGTGGTATCGTCTGCGTAAATTACACATTCGATAGGAGTGTTACATGGAAGATCATTTACTGCGATTATGAAAAGGAAAGGGCCTAAGACTGAGCCCTGTGGAGCACCTGCTTTAATTGTGGTCATTGTAGAGTGTTTACCCTCCACACTAACATATTGCTTCCTATTTGACAGATAAGATTCAAGCATTTCTATTGTGTTTTTGCTGAGTCCATAGAATTTGAGTTTAGCTAGCAAGATGTCAAACGGGATGCAGTCGAAAGCTTTTGTTATAGATATACCACGAACAAAACAACCTGCGCAGAAACGAAAAGATCACGTGGTTCGCGCAGGTAGGTGGGCCGTACCATTCAAACCTGCGCGGCTCGAATCGGCCGAGGGTTCTTTTGTTTCTGGTATTACTATAAATCAAAAAGTAGCATAGAAACAGTATTTTTATTTTCAAAAGCATTAATAATATAATTGGAAATGTGAGAGACTGCCATCGTAGTTGATCTGCCAGCTCTAAACCCAATTGATAATCAGTCATCAAGTTATTAGAGTCAAAAAAGTAATTTAACTGTTTTAACATGAGAGCTTCGAAAACCTTAGATAAGATTGGTACTATCGAGATTGGGCGATAGTTTTGACATAGATTCTTATCACCCTTTTTATAAATTGGAGTTACTTTTGAGACTTTAAGTTGGTCAGGAAAATAACCATTACGGAGACAACTATTAAATACAGTGGAGAGGGGTGTAGATATGTAGTGTATAATATTCTTGATTATGTAGTTTGAAAACCAAAAGTGATCCATAGATTTAGAATTTGAAAATTTTGAGACTTTTTTTGTTACCTCATTTGGTGTAATAGGTATCCATTCAAATTTAGAGATGTCCAATTTTTGTGTAGATTCCAGTAGTTCTCTTGGTGTGTCTTGAGTCTGGCCCACTTGATTGGCCAGTTCCTCAACTGAATCTGTAAAGTATGTGTTTAATTTGTTAGGGTCAAGAGTAACATGAGATGTGCGTGTGGTTGTATTTTCCTGTGTTATTATGTCCCAGGCGGCCTTGCATTTGTTTTTTGAATTGTTAATGTATTTAGCACAGGCTAATTTTTTAGCAAGGTTTAAATCCTTCCTGTACTGTTTTTTTAAGCTATTGTAGATATTATAAGCTGCCTGAGCCTTTACAGAATCAATTTAAAAAAAATGTTTGTACAAAGAATTATAAGCCATCATGGTTTCCTTACTTTTTTTTAAACTATCACTATAATAGGTGATTTTGTTTTTCACTAAATTAGTCTTATTATCTGATCTAAGCTTTTTCTTAACAGGTGGAGAACAATAGTACCAGAGGTTAACAAATTTATCAAAAAAACTATCAAACAATGTTACTGGGCAACTCTCATTTTCTGTAATGTCTTCCCATGACTCGCCCTGCAATACCTCACGGAAAAGATTGAGATTTTGTTTGTTTTGTTTCCTAACCAGAACACTAGCCTGCTCAATAGATAGGCCTACATTTTGTGAGCTTTTGCAGGCAGGTCTATGGTATTTAAAAAGCAGTGGATCATGATCGGCCAAAGCGCCTTGCAAGATTGAAATTTTGTAAAAATCTTGAGAGAAATTTACTAAAATGTTATCTAAACAGGCATCGTTTCTTGTAGGGAATTTATTACTACATTTTAAGTCAAGTGACCGTAGTAGGTTCGTAAAATTAATTGAGGTTTGTTCCTCCATCTTAGCCATTTCAATATTAAAGTCCCCACAGACTATTACTTTTTTTCCAAGGCTGAGAACGTATTTCATAGCTCCTCTAAAATTATCAAAAAAAGTGGACATGTTGCCATTGGGTGACCTATACAAACTAACTATAATCAGATCTTCGTCAACAAGATTCGTCAACATACAGTTGTCGATAGGAGGTAAATCCATCGTTCCTGTACAAAAAGGAACAAATTGTAAACAAAACACGACCTTCGCAGTGCACCAAGGTAAGGCCTCACTAGAAAGTGGGGCCTTGAGTGCACCGTACACTCGTACAGAACTAATAATTAAATTGGCATCAGCTGTCCCATAAGGATGAGAAATCTAATTTGAAAATTATCAAATAGTCAAAATCTAATAGGTGAGGGGGATAAAGGCGGTTTTGGACGTTGCTGTAAAACACACATTCTCTAAAACTAAACAAAAACACCAATAATTTTGGATAATAGCAGGTCTTTTCAAAGATCTTGGAAAAATCTACAGTTTGCACACTTCTGCATTGCCTTTTTCTCTGTGATGTAATTTCAATTATACACGTTTTATTCCTATTAAATTTTTGTTTTATTATTGTTGTTCATTTATAAATAAGTTATGCATTTAATATACTCTATAGCTGAGCTACCACAAGCTACTCGTTATTGTTATACTCCTTGGCTAAACATGGAAGCTTCATTCTATTCTTATGGTTTGATTTTGATTTAAAAAATGAGTAATGAGTCTGTCTTACTTTACTTACTTGTCATATTATGTCATGTTGATGTTGTTAGTTTAGTTCGTTAGTTGTTTTGTAATTACTAATTATGTTGGTTTTGTTTATTTTACCAATGAATAATGAATACACAAGGGTTTGAATTCATTGTTTTACTGACGAATTCGAATAATTCGTTTCAAATTTCAAAATTGTAAAGAGTACTTAGAGTAGAGACTACTGAGACTAGATAGAGGTTAGTGTCCTTCCTTACTGAACTCGAACTCACCAAAACCAAAACTCAAATAATTAAACAATAACTTATAACCTACCTATAACTTAAGGTTTTAAACAGTGCCAGTCTATCTGAATCTATTTTTACATATTAAGTAAACAGACTTCTTATGTTGAATTAAATTATTACAAACAATAATGTACGGTATATATTTTTTTAGTGACTTTATTTTAGGTTAAAACTTGTGATGATAGGAGACACCGGTGCAATACTGTGATATAGATTTACATAAATCAATAGCGCTTCCAGTGTTTGTTTGCATAGTTTTTTTGGTAAGTATCTGGTATCCTTTAGACTTTTCTGTTTTCATTACAGTAGAATCTCTTTAATCCGATCCGAACTATGTTAACTTAATTGGGACTGGGGTGGTTTGGGCTATTGAGAAAAGTCAGCAGCTTTTTGATGGTTCGAAACTGGACCCAGCTGTTCCTGATCATTGGGCTTTAAATAAATGATCCTGACTAATGAAACCGCTGATCTTAGTCAGTAACAAAGCTACAGTGGTCATCACACACCATTCTACACTCATCCTTCACTCATATTTGGGTTAAAATACGCACCTAGGTGGCGTCCCCATCTCAATAATTGATAATTGATAATTAAATAGTCTAGATTACAGAACATATATTGTTGTTTTTACACAGCCTACCTACAGTACAGCACAGTACACACAGCACAGTACAGTACAGCTTTTTTTACAGTAGCTAAAATGGATCGTATAATTGTTACGGAAAAAGGGAAAAATGCTTTATAATGTAATATACAGTGCTTATTTAATGGTAGTAAACATAGTGAATAGTACTGTACACTACAATATAAACAATTACGGTACGTATATCAATAAATACAGTATACAATAAATAACGGCTGCACTTTACTTTAGGTCCTACACTCATTCAAATGAAAATATTGATTTTTTGATTGTTTCGTTCGATATATTGTTTGATTAGTTAGTTTAGGTTAGCCTTACCTAATTAACCAAACGATATATCGAATGAAACAATCGATTAATCGATATATCGATTGATATTTTCATTCAAATTAGTGTAGGACCTTAAAGTGCAGCCTAAATAACTACTGTACAGTGTATAGAGTACAGCAATGAGGCTTTCGGATTAGTGGATGTTCGGATTACGGGGGTTCGGATGAAAGAGGTTCTACTGTAATTGTAATATATGAGGTAGGCTGGGGTAACTTAGGTATCCGTTTTGAAGATGCCATTATGCTTTCAATGGAAAATGTTAACATAAATCATTAACTGAAGAATAAGTTAAGTTACAGTACTTTACAAGTTACTAAAGGTTTACATTTATTTGGAGCTTTCTTTCATTTGTAATTGACTTAAATCTTATTTCAAATTCGATTGAATACTTGTCTTCTTTATTTTTGACTAAAGTTCTGGATAGATCCTAGTGTCATTTCCCATACACTACACAATTCATCAAATATATACCTAGGCTACCTACTTAAACATTGAAAATACTTAAAAGCTGGATACTGAGTTCCTCCCTCATCCCGCAACGGGTCTGTGACACCATCTTCCTGTATAAACTGGTAAATGGGATCATCGATTGTCCTGAGGTATTAAACAACATCGACCTCACCATTCCCAGGGGCTCAATCCAGATCTGTCTTCAGAAGGAAATACCAGCTGACTAACTACGCTTGTAACCACGGCATCTCTAGACTCCTGAGAACCAGCGAAGATGTGTCTTCTCATCTTGACTTCTTCGGGCCATCACCAGCTTCATTCAAGCGAGAGTTCCGGAGGCTACTCCTCTAAAGTGACCTCACTACAGTGTTTGAGTTGCGGAACAGTGTTGTGTTACGTTTACTGGTGGCGCCTTTAAAGTGCCACAACCACATTGTGAGGCGGGGGGAGTTTTTTCGAATTGACCTGTTGTTGCATCATAGTCTATCTTTGTTACCCTTAATACATTTTATCACCGTTGCTTCTTCACCCTAGTCATTCATTATCACTGTTATCTATTTCTAGTCTGTTATTGTTATTAATTACTATTACTCGTTTTCATATCGCTTTTATCACCACTGCCAGTGTTGCCAATTATTATTGTTAGCCTACCTAGTTATAGTTTAATTATCGCCAAGCATGTAATAATTAATTATTATTGTACCTGGTTATAACTTACGGTAGTCTATTAATCGCCAAGAATGTTACATAATTAAATGGTAAAATCACTCTTCATTGTTAAACCGCACTTCATTTTCATTAAAAATCCATCTTTGCATGTATCACTGTACATGTATCTGCACAATATTTAACAGCATGTAAAAAAGCATTTTGTCCCATGTAGCCTATCATAATGTAAAATTAATTGTAAAATGGTGTTCACCGTCAAAATAAATAAATCCCGCTTCAGAGGTTCATTAGCAAGATCATGAAGACTTTAGAGTGGCTTTTGTTGAAGAGTTGCACAGCGTTGTCTTAAATTTTTAGGTTGATGCTAGTCTGCTAAGTTGAGGTTAAGTGAAGAGAGTAACATAGACTATGAGAAGAATAACGTTGTTGATTACAAAATTATCATTTACTATAGAAATATTTCAAGTGATTTTGTAGACAATAATTTGTTCTATTAAAGGGAATTTTGTCATGGAGATTTAGATGGACATGCATATAGATAGGCTATGCATGTCGGACTAATTACATGTAGGCCTAGGCTTGTTCTTATTTAGGTAAGTCAGAGTGGTCGGTCGAGCTTTATGCAAATTCGTGACTGCATTAAGTGTTTAGAAGTTAGGTTAGATTAGGAAGGTAAAGTTTAGGTTATAATAAAGGTTGTTACTTAGTTTATATTACCTACAAACTGATTTTGTATGATTTCAACCCTGAGAAAAAAACCTTTAAGTAGCCTACTATTTAAAACATGCTTACAACAAGCATGTTCATATATTATTAACATTAAGTTATGTTTATTTTAAGCCTAATCTATAAAATGGCCTAGCCTAGGTGATTATGGAAATTAGGCTATGAAGGAACGAGAAAAAGTGTGTAATTTTCTGACATCTTAAGAATTTCAACCTGAAGTTTTTTTTATGTTGCATTTAATAATATACTAACAAGTACTGTAATTCAATAATGTACTAACAAGTACTGTAATTCAATAATGTACTGTACTAATACTAATGGGTAATGTTTTACAGCTTTATCTTGTGCTCTAGAAAATTTAATCATGAAGATTGCTATCGAAGGATGTGCTCACGGAGAATTGGAGAAAATTTATAATGCTATTCAGTATATGGAAAAAGAAGGTGGATTCAAAGTTGACCTTCTCATATGCTGTGGTGATTTCCAATCTACGAGAAACTCACAAGATTTGTCTTGTATGGCTGTCTCTCAAAAGTATAGGAACATCTGTTCTTTCTACAAGTAAGTGCTTGAAGTTGAATAACCTATTAACTTGTTGCCCTATGTTGTTTTATAAGAGTCTAGGTTACCGTCTAAGAGTAGGTTTTGTCCCCGAGGTCCTGGGTTCGAATCCCGCCAACCTCCAATGGCTATGTGTTGCTGCGACCCCCTAAGCCTAGCTTGAAGCAATGTGTAAAACGGTTCGAGGCTGGAGCCTCCTTCTGCTGCCCTAGGATGTGAAGGAACATTATTTAAAAATTATATATAAGGATTGCAGACTCTACTGGCTTGCTTGTCACTGATACAGTAAAAATGTTTATCAGTGTCTTTATTATACGACCAGGCAATCTAAAGCCTACTACTGAGTTTGTGTAAGGTTTAAATATAGATCCCGCACAGGTTTTAACCTTAGGGGTTTATTGCTCTATGTTTTTTTTATATGCTATTTTGATGTTTTGTAAACAGTTAAAGCTAAAAAAAACTTGTAATAGGTATATCTAGGCATTTATTTGTAGAAATACTATATTCAGAATTGTGTTTCAACTACTATTGTGATTGTACTGTTACAAAAACTATACCGTAACTATGTATATTGAACTATGTATATATGTATATTGAGCTATAAAGAATTTTCAATTCAATATTAGACCCAGTAGGTCTACAGTGTCAAGTAGTTGGTGTTTTTTACAGAAAAAAATGTCGTAGCAGTACATTTTGAACCTAACACAGGACTTAAAATGCAAGGTAACTATATTTTACTTAATCTAAAACCTTTTGTGCAGGTATTATTCAGGGGGGAAAGAAGCACCCATCCTTACACTGTTCATCGGAGGGAACCATGAGGCATCAAATCACTTACAGGAGCTCCCTTATGGGGGATGGGTGGCTCCTAATATATATTATTTAGGGTGAGTGTGTTAGCAATCAATCATTGAAGTCAGGTGTAGGCCCTAAGATAATGCTGATTTTGATAACTGCTTGCAAATAATTTGAGTAACATTCTGGGTGGTCTACATAGGCTATGATATTCACCTACAAAAAAACAGAGTTTTTAATTGCTAGTGAGTGTTTTGCCACTTGTTGGAAAATCATCAAAGATATTTGTAATATTGACTCATCCTAGTATGTTTTGATTTGATTTTTGATTTGATCCAGTAGAAGCATCTGCTGACAGTACATTCTTTTTTAGTGAAAAATTGGCGACATCTGTTCCATATAGATGGTATGTCTACTTCTCTATCTAATAGTCAATAGTATCATCTTAGCCTTGTATCACCACCTTTTCACACATTGAATGTGGCTGAAAAAGTAATTAAAAATATCTTTGTCCAATAAAAATCAAGGTATTGTAAAGAGTTTTGCTGAGATGTAAAGGATCACTTTTATCCTCTTGATCAGAAGGTGTGTGTTTATGGAAACAATGGTGTCTGGAAAAATCCCCTTTGTATTTTTAAGGTTTCTGCACTTGTGACGTTTTCTGTTTTATTCAACACTATAATTGCTGGAGGATAATAAGTTCAGAAATCACATACACCTCTTCTTGCCCTTAACAAACCATTACCATGCTCACAAACTCTTGTAAAAACCGAATGCTTGTTGTGAGCATAGGCAGTATGAAAGGGGACCCAAATCCTACTTTTCAAATATTTCTGAACATATACAAATATGTGTAAACAGATATTATTGGTACAAAGCCTTCTTACCGTAGCATGGACATTGATATGATCTACTATATATACTCTGTTCACAAAATTTAGGCGGTTTAAGGGGAAGCGATTTCATCCCCTCCGCCTCCACCTCACCCTGATTTTCATACAACAGTGGACAAACCGCCTAAATTTTGTGATTGGACTATAGCCAATTCGTCAATATTAGTTGCCCAAAAGTAAAATGTTATCTTTTTTTTACTTTTTTACCTACTAAAATGTTGTTACAAACATTAATAAGCTTAGGAGAACATTTTTCAGTTATGCTGGTGTCGTGAATTTTGGAGGTGTACGCATTGCTGGCCTGTCAGGTATCTACAAGAGTAGAGATTATATGAAAGGACACTATGAGAAACCTCCTTACAGTGAAGAGACCAAGCGATCAGTCTACCACATCAGGAACTTGGAGGTGTTCAGACTGAAACAGGTATGAATAAGAGTCACAAAAATATTAAATGTCAATGTTTGACGGTGAATACAGTTAAGTCTCACAACCTTATCCTATTATGAATTGGAAAGGTGTTTACAGTAGTTGCTAGATTATCAGGAAAATGGCTAAAAAGGATACTGATAGTTAAAGTAAATTTTCTTATAGTTCTCACATACTGTTCCTCACTAGTGTGAAGACAGTTGAATGCTTGTGGATTGGAGCCTTAAACATCTCCTGTGGATAGGAGAATATGTGATAAAAAATTTACTAGTGTTCTGTCATAGCTGACTCAGCCGGTGGACATCATGCTGTCACATGATTGGCCAAGAGGAGTCACTGACTACGGGGATGTTGATACACTGCTCCAGAGGAAACCGTTTTTCCAGTAAGTAAATTATATAATAAATATCAAACTAGATATTTGTTTTTATCAACGCCATTATTTAACTATAGGCCTATTACTAAACCTTTTGAGCTGCAGGGCTTATTAATTCACTTTAATATGTCCATTTTCTTTATGTTTTTCTCTCAATCTATGGAAATCCAAAGTCTTGGGAAAAAGTGTTTGGTTGAAACCCATTACACCCTTTGCTGAGTAATAATAATAGTAGGTCATCACTGTGGCATAAAGTGACTTTTTTCAAGTCAAGCTCAAGTTTCACTGCAAAATGACCGAGTGTTCATGTAAAGCTAACCTCTCAAAACAACTTCAAACTTTACTAATGCTTATAAGCAGCTGTTTGGTATTCAATCATTTCGCCTACTACGATTGTGTTTGTGTAAATTCTACTATCGATATGACAAATTAATGATAAGTATGCAACAATAAGCTTCAACCGATGAAATCGATCAATATAATTTTGAACGTGTGTTATGCTTACAAATACCTGTCCAATCAACTTCCACTTGAACCATCAACCATTTATTATCTGTAAAGAAGTTGAAAATGATTACTTCCCAAATTTAGTCTGAATATAGACTAAAAATCAGTTCATCCAAGGCAACACTAAATAAACAGGCCGAAATGCTCCTCTGGCGTGACGTCATTAAAGGCGACGGCAATGAGGTAATGTTATTTTTTTGTTATATTTTTGCTTACCAAGAAAAGATTAAAACAAGCAGCTGATTACAAACGGCAAACATTACGTCATTGCCGTCGCCTATGGTGAAGTCATGCCAGAGGAGCATTACGGTTTGTTTATTTAGTGTTGCCTTGGTAACACAGTGCCAATATTATAGTGTCATGAGCTAATCATACTTTATCTCGCAAAGACAGGATATAGAGCAGAACGCATTGGGAAGTAAACCAGCTGAAGAGCTATTACACGAGCTCAAACCAACTTACTGGTTTGCCGCTCATCTACACTGCAAGTTTGCTGCTATTGTTCCACACGGTGTGAGTTTATTCATTTTTCATTTATAACCTTTGTGATAAACTAATATTATGCAGAAATGTTAGTTTCATAATAATTGTTCAAGGTGTCTGGTTGGTTCCAGAGCCGTCCTAAGGGTTCAGCAATTTACTGGCATCATTTGTGAACAGAATAATAATTGTACCCAGCTCTGTAGCCAACATGTACGTTTAGCTGTGTGTTTAAAAAATTATTTAACTATTGAATCTTCCGCCGCGTTGTTTTTTGAAGGGGACTACAATACAAGAAACATATATCCAATCACGACATTCACCGCCAGATGACTGGAGGCTAATGGCCCTTATACAATGAATGAGGGCAGCGGCAGAAATTTATTATTGAGTGTAAAAATAGCAAAATGGCCATGAAATTCTTTTTACTTTTATAAACGCACAGCACTTAACTACACAGTCCACTTCGCATCACATGTCAACTACAGAGCTGGAAATTGCTTCCTTCTGTTCACAAATGATGCCAATTAGCGGGAAGGAGCCTCGTTGCGGCGTACAAACGAACTATGGGGTTATAAGCAAAAACGGCTCTTACTTTAAAAACCGCCCTTGTAATTTTGACCCAGGCAACGCTGGTTTTTGTTGCTAGTAATAAATATAGGCCTAAAACAATGATACCAGCAGGGCCTGTAAGTGGGATTATACGTCTAGACTCATGAAGTGTAAGATTGGTTAATTTCTAAATTTAATACATGAATGTTGGGTTTTCAGCCACGAAAAGGTGACACCAGGTTCCTTGCATTAGATAAATGCTTGCCGAAGAGGAAATTTCTCCAAGTAAGTAAATGTGGAATTAACTTTACTTATTGTAAGGACTGAACTTCATATAACCATGTAAATGTTTAATTTTAAGATAAGAAATGTTTGTTTGTAAAAAAAATACTTATAGTTTAGATGGCAAAGCAATTTACTTTTTTCCATTACATTTAGAGTCTTTAAGTATTCTGCCAATTACTTAGTTTCAAGTTGAAGTGCATGCCACAAACGGCCTTAGAAATAGTAGATTTTCGTATCCATGTTCTAAAAAAAGAAGAAAAATGTAATAATTTTGTTTGTTATCTTTATGCATCAATTGGAACACCCCGACAAGCTTTTTGAACTTGGCGAGGCTAAGCTTTAATAAGTATATTTGAATTTGAACATAACCCAATAATTGACTTATTAGGAAAACCTTTTTGTTTGGTTATTTAAAAACTGACATGACCTTGTCATCTACCTGATCATCATTCATTCCACCCAGGCAAATACTTAGCACCTAGGTTACTGCTTTAGCACAAGCAAAACAGTAACAATCTTTCAGGATCAGTAATTTTTTTTAAATTTTATTTTTTACTAGAATTGCCGGTTACATACATTTAACACCTGTACACCTGACTGTTGTAGATAATGGAGCTGGACCATGATGACAGTCAGACACTAGAGTTGAGCTATGACCTAGAGTGGCTCACCATTTTACATCTGACTAATCATCTGCTTTCGGTCAAAAAGGGAATCACCTATATGCCTGGTCCCTCTGGTGTAGAGAGGTAACAGTTTATTTTTTAATGTTATTCAGAGATTTGATTCAGATTCGAGAACGAATCTACCGTTTCTAACTGGATTCGGATTCGGAATCGATATTGGAATTTACAGGAAAAAGATCCGGGTTCGGATTCGATATTCGAATTTTCTAGAAATAGATCCGAGTTGGGATTCGATATTCAAATTAATCATACCATACATTCGGATTCAATATAATTTTCATCATCTGATTTTGATTCAAAATATTGGGTTGACCCAGCAAAATGTATTTTCCTTCAGTAGATTGTATATTGTAAAATGTTGTAGTTTGCTTGTTTATGGATATACTAGCTGTACCTGCGGGCTTTGCCCCGTTTAACTTCATAAGTGAGCTCGTTCGCATGGCTCAATCACGTCCTGGTTGAAGTTCGTACGCTACCTTTAGGTTGGAGGTCGTTCGCTGCACTCACTTGCCTTCAGGTTAGCTCGTTCGCTACGCTAACTCGCCTCCAGGTTGAAGTTCGTTCGCTACGCTCACTCACCTTTTGGTTGCGAATTAGCTGTTGTCATAAATTAAAAAAAAATAATAGTGCTGCACCCTGTTGGTAATCCTTGTAACTTTAATGCTATTGAACATCATAGAACAGAACCAACTTGTTTAATTGAAACAGCTGTTAAGATTCATTAACTCCTTTTAAATATGAAAAATCATAAGGTTAACATGGGAAACTCCAGAGCCACTGGGGCGGAGCCCGATGGCCCGATCAGAATAAAAACTACTTGGTTTTTTTATTTAATGCCCACAGAATCGGTGTACCGAATTTCAGCCTCCTAGGTAAATGGGAAGTGGGAGAATTAGTGATGAGTGAGTCAGTCAGTCAGTGAGTCAGTGAGAGCTTTGCCTTTTAGCGAATTTCCCTATAGGGAAGTAGCTATTACCGTAGGTCTCATGGTAAGACTTAGGCCCGGGACCGATTTACTTTTTCATTTTGATGTCCCCAGAGGCCAAAAACACCACTCGTTCAAATTTTTATATATGTATATATATATATATATCTAATATATATATATATGTGTCCGTGAACACGATAACTTGAGTAATTTTTATCCGATTTTGATGAAATTTGGTTTGAAGGTGTAAGGCGGGATAAACTTAAATGAGTTCGCGATCCAGCATGATCGGACCATGGGAACAGGGTTTTATGGGGGGTTTTATGGGGTAAAAATTGGTTTTTCTCACTTTTGACCCTCAAAACACAAAATTTCCCAATTTTTCTCTAAACCTTCTTAAAGAGCTTAAAAAAACAAACAATTCAGTATATCAAAGTGTTTTTGTACGGTTATTGGTTACGGAGAAAACTAAAAAAATGGTAAATTTAAAATTCCCATGTTATTCTTATGGAGAATATTGTAAAATGTTGTAGTTTGCTTTGTTATGGATATCTTTTGATCAAACTTGGCAAATATATTCATTTTATACTAAGCAATAATTATTTTACTTAAAACACACACTTTATTAGTTTCCTTGTAGCAGCAAACCTAGGTACTCGTTAAACCTAATGTTATTTAAATAGATCAATTGAAAATCAATTCAGCCAAATGGAAATTCGCTTAGGCGTCAGGTTTGCTGCGGCGGGGGTATTATATATATAGACTAGCTGTACCCGCGGGCTTTGCCCCGTTTAACTTCATATGTGAGCTCGTTCGCATGGCTCAATCACGTCCTGGTTGAAGTTCGTTCGCTACGCTCACTCACCTTTAGGTTGGAGCTCGTTCGCTGCGCTCACACGTCCTGGTTGAAGTTCATTCGCTACGCTCACTCACCTTTACGGTTGGAGCTCGTTCGCTGCGCTCACTCACCTTTTGGTTGCAAATTAGCTGTTGTCATAAATTTAAAAAAATAATAGTGCTGCACTCTGTTGGTAATCCTAGTAACTTTAATGCTATTGAACATCACAGAACAGAACCAACTTGTTTAATTGAAACAGCTGTTATGATTCATTAATTCCATTTAAATATGAGTACTCATTAGGTTAACATGGGAAACTCCAGAGCCACTGGGGCGGAGCCCGAGAGTCCGATCAGAAAAAACCACTCAGTTTTCCTATTTAATGCCTAAAGAATCAGTGTACTAAATTTCAGCCTCCTAGGTAAGTGGGAAGTGGGAGAATTAGTGATGAGTGAGTCAGTCAGTCAGTGAGGGCTTTGCCTTTTATATAGATAGACTAGCTGACCCGGCGAACTTCGTATCGCCTAAGTTATAGGTTTCCCCTAAGACAGACCGATGGAAAGAAAGTACCGTTACGTTTAATTTTCAAGATGATCTCGTTCGCATCGCTCAATCACGTCCTGGTTGAAGTTCGTTTGCTACGCTCACTCACCTTTGGGTTGGAGCTCGTTCGCTACGCTCACTCACCTTTAGGTTGGAGCTCGTTTGCTGCGCTCACTTGCCTTCAGGTTAGCTCGCTCGCTACGCTAACTCGCCTCCAGGTTGAAGTTCGTTTGCTACGCTCACTCACCTTTGGGTTGGAGCTCGTTCGCTACGCTAACTCGCCTCCAGGTTGAAGTTCGTTCGCTACGCTCACTCACCTTTTGGTTGCAAATTAGCTGTTGTCATAAATGTAAAAGATATAATAGTGCTGCACCCTGTTGGTAATCCTTGTAACTTTAATGCTATTGAACATCATAGAACAGAACCAACTTGTTTAATTGAAACAGCTGTTAAGATTCATTAATTCCATTTCTCATAAGGTTAACATGGGAAACTCCAGAGCCACTGGGGCGGAGCCCTTTTAAGAATTTCGAAACGGGAAATAGTTTACGTCCGATTCGCATACCTACAGAATTTACACACCAAATTTCATAACGATCGGTGAAGTCGTTCCGGAGGAGTTTGCAAACAAACACTGTGACACGAGAATTTTATATATTAGAAGATATTGATCAAACTCGGTAAATTTATTTTTTTTATACTAAGCTATTAATATTTTACTAAAAAATATACCTTATTAGTTTCCTAGTAGCAGCAAACCTAACTATTCATTAAACCTAATGTTATTTAAATAGATTTAATTGAAAATCAATTCAGACGAATGGAAATTCGCTTATTCGGCAGGTTTGCTGCGGCGGGGGTATACTATAGCATACCATAAATTCAAAGAACCAAATTTTCTCAAACCATGTCCTCCCCCATTGCAAATGCAAAGCACAAGTATAACTGCAGTAAGCATTTTATACTTATAACAAACCAACCCCGTACGAAGGATGGATACTCTGCTAGTCATCCATATTTTTTTTCAAACTTATCAGAAAATATTTCTACTCAGGTGGATATTTACTCCAACCGAGGAGGAGAAAGCCCATGTGCTTAAGAGGTTCAATAGTGAACTGAAAGTGCCGAGGAACTTTTCTAAGACGGTACCAGCCTGGAGTGAAGAGGGGGGACAACAAGGACGAGCGACGCAGCAGTTTAACCCGCAAACCACCACTTTCTGTGAGCTGCTGGGTGTAGACGACCCTCTAACTCTGCTCAGCGGAGGTGACGAGACACCTGGAACATCAACTCCAACCTTCTTCACACCCGACAGGTCTAGAGACACTTCTCAAGTATCCTTCACTTCTCCCTCGGACTACGACGAGACTTGTAGTCAGTCTAGGTGAGATGTGGAACAAGTGTAAAATACAGTATAATGTACTTCCTTTAATCAGACATATCTGGGACTAGACGCATGCCACATTTAAACATATTCTGGATTACTGGATGATTATAGCGGAAAATGTGAACTAAACATAAATTCACACAATACAACTTTATTTTGGACTAACACTGTTCAAGGCAATGTTTTCAAAAGCATAAACTGACTCCCTAAAGAGATTTTATTTTAAGTCTTCTGTTACGGATATAGAACTTTTAAAAGAGATGACAAAGGACTAGACAATAAGATTACTTGTACCATTTTAATAAAGTGTAATCCTTTGTCATTTCCCTTATGATGGACTTGTTCATTTTTAAGACTTTTAATATACTTGTTTATAACAACTATTTCATTTGGCAGTTTCAGCAACACCAGTTTTACTCCAAGCCCAATCAAGAGGATGAGTTTACCACCGCCCAAGCTAGAGTTGCCCGATGATAGTTCAGAGGATTTGCTCTCTACAAGTCAGGTCTCTCAGGACAGTACGGCCAACCTGACAGCTACAGGTATTATACAGTGTTACACCAGCAAATGTTGAAAGAGTGTGAGTCACAGTGACTCAAAGTCCAAAGAGGGTTTGCCAGAATGCTTTCGTTGCTGGAAGCTTTACGTTAGCTCTTTGTTTTCATTGGGGGTTCTGTAAAGGAGTGTAAAGTAGGACAAGGACATCACTTGAAGGATTTTGTTTTCAAGGAATGGAAAAATGACTTTGTTAACTTAAAATGGTAAAAGATAAGCTGTTTGCTATTTATATGTATAGGGTAAATAGTACTGAATTCCCTCACCCTGTATTATACAACACGGACGTTTCTTCATAAAAGTCATTACTGTAAAAAATATTTTATTGCAATTTTGACAACCAGCAACTCATTTTAAGAAGTCCACTTGTTTATTCGGGCAACATATTAAATATTATCCAATTGGATGTTGTAAAAAGTCTGATGATGCAAATCTTTTAGTATTCTTTTGTCAATAAATAGTTCATATCTAGACACTTTTGAGTCCTTGCGATAATTTATTTAACTTGATATTTCATATCTCATATCTTACTCTTATCTCATCAAAACAGAAACCAATTTTTTACAAAACTGCAACTCCTTGGGAGCAGCTCATGTTAGGCTGCTGTTCAGCTGTTTTTGTTCAGTTATATTTGCAAGAAATGTAACTGTTAGTGAAACCTATTTAAGTGAAAGTTAGCCTATAAGTTTAGTAATCATAGTTCAAATTACCTATTTTCTTGTATTTATATTGTATGAGTTCAAATGTTGAAAAATCCATACTTAAGTTTAATTGATAAACTACATATAATTGCAGTAATATTAATGATATTACAGATAATATCAACTCAATAATCAATAACCAATAATCCCTATAATACTCAAAGCAAGGAATGCAAAATTAGACTGGAAAGAACTGAATGAAACTCCAGTTACAATATGGAATAAAATTACACTATTGTACGAATACTGACCAAACTCATTCACTGCAGTATCGGATTAACAAGTGTGTCGAATTATCACCAATCAACCCTACATTATAATTTTTGGTGATAATAGTGTGTTGTGTTGACCTATTGTAACAAAATACCTTTCTGTATCAATATTCTTATTTCAGTGATTCCAATATGTTAAGTAATCATTTATCTCTTAACGGAAATGGCTTGGGCACAAATATGTACTGCTTGCTAGCAAACAAGTTAAAACTTCTAATAGATATGATTGTTAACAGACTCAGTGAACACAACAGCCAGCTTAAATGAATCGGTTTTGTCGCAATCAACGTGTGAAACAGATGCGAGTCAAGAACCTAGTGAGGATGGACCTCCGATACCAAACAAAAAGTTCAAGCGGAGAAACCAAGCACTATACACTTCTACTGAAGAAGATTGAATATGATCATTGAATATAGAAGCTGAAATATTTTCTTCTCATCAATATGGCAATAAGGTGTCAGTTTTGATGTAGGCTTTTGTGTGTTGCTGACTAATTAATTTCTTCCTTTTTTAAGATTAGAATTTAATCAATAAAATAATGATCTTTCCAAGACGGTTGTTTTTGTGTAATGATTTGCTGTTGCATGATCATGACATGGGTACGTCTCAGTTTAAAATTTTGTTCTGAATGAGAAAGGAAGAAAAAGAATACAGCAGCACTCAAATATGAATCCTGTACTGCAAAAAACGGAAAGTAAATAAAAGAAACGTCTTATAACACTTAAAACATATATTTACGCTTTTACTGTTACTCACAAGACGGTAAATATACAAAAAAAGATGGTAAGTGGTGAACCGACTATGCAAATAACATAATATTCCAACATCAGTTCCAAATGTCACAATAAAGCTGGTGGAAAATCTACTTTAGGCATGTATAGTCAATTTAAGCAACTAGCTGTTACCCACGGGCTTCACCCCGTTTGACTTCATGAGTATTAATAAAACTATTGATTGGTTAACCCTCCGAGGGTCACGCGTCAAAAAATAGACGCACAACACACTTTGTGTAGGGTCACGCGTCGAGTTTAAGACGCACAAACATCGTTTACGGCGAAGGCTCTATGACTGACTGAATCGGATTGAACTGGATCGAGTTAGGTATCGTTCTTTCCGTAATATTCTAAGCTTTCTCCAGAGGTCTGTCTCTAAGCGCTATTCATTTTAGTTCCGAAAATATTGTAGCAGACAGCTGACGTGCGTGTATTTGTAAACAGCTAGGTTCCCCCGGACCGATGACTGATGTGTTTTATTACGTTTATCATTGTTTTAGTGTTAAAAATCAAAAGTAGTGATATACGTGGTGCATTATAAGAAGATTTAAGTGGTTTTGAAGTGCTGGTTGATGATCCTGAAGAAGTAGGTAGTGATATTGATGTAAATTATCAGCCAGATTCCTAGCTATGGTTAGGCTATGCATTCTTAGCTAAACGCTATGTACTGAAATCCGTTTTTCGCTCATAACTTATTTATTTGATAACTTACCTCGCTATATGATTATATATTTGTAATCCTCATTAAATTTAGAACAAAGTGGCTATTTTCAAATATTTATAGGCCTATAATTTATACAATTTCATTGAGCGCGAACTTATTTTTTTTTGAAAATTTTCAAAATTATATTTTTTTTTACCAAAAAATTTTTTTTTGAAAAAATGTTCCTTATGTTTTATATATAATATTGAAGCCCATGATTTTCCAAACCAAATGGTATATAGAACATTAGAATTAACATTGTTTTAAGCTTCTCAGATCCGTTTTAATAAAACCTTGCAAAGGGGCCAAAAATAGGTGGACATTAAGGCCTAAACTATGGACACTCGGAGGGTTAAGTTAAGCTAAAATAAACAAAACAGAATACAGTAATACTGGGGATGGAATGTCTCATGGTGGAAGGAAAAAACATAGGTGTGTTATTGTTTTTATAATGTGTGTTTTTATAAAAAAACAATAACAATCAAATCAAAACAAATACATACTAATTTGACAGTTACAATCAGGTGATGTTTTGTTTGCAATCCGAGTGACGCAATATGTGGGAATAGCACACCTATGTTTTTTCCTTCTACCATGGGAATGTCTAGTATTGATAGTCAAACAAAGGTAATACCAATAGTCAATGGTAATACCAAATAATCACACCTGATTTTAATCTATACTTATTTAATACGCAAGCAGGATTTTTGTGACAATTACTCCTCCAAAACTACTGAACCGATTGACATGTTTTTGGTGTCGTTGGAAAGAGCGTAACGTGAAGTTGTGCAGGAAACTTTTTTTTTTAGGTAAATAATTAGAGAGTGAGTCCCTGGGGCCCTTTAAAGTTTCGTATTTCTCCATAAAAATAACATGGGAAACAAACATTGTTTTGAAACTCCAGCTGTTGTCAGACTCCTTGGAAGCATGAGGAAACTCACAATGTTTACATTAGCTTTGACATTTAAATGTAAACAACCAGAACTGTCAAATTATTTCACGATTTCAGACAGCTGATCCAAAAAAATTAAAACTATGTGGTAGGTTGATTTAATCTTAAACTTTATGATAGATTATTTATTATAAATATATTTCTATGATTATGAAACAGATTTTTCCCGTTACGAAGCAAAAATTAAAAGTGGGAAGAAGAACATATGTTAATTGTAAACATGTACAAATAATCTATGTTGTATTAAAAATGTGTATAGTTTTGGATGTTGATTTGTGTTTAATGATATAAGTTATTAATTATTGAATTTTTATTTTAAGAATTTGGCATATGAGTATGCCTATGCTCATTTCAGAGTTCTGCCAGTTTTTGCTTAACTCTGTTCTGTAGAGTTTAAAGTAGCCTACACCTTTTGTCTACAAATTGGCTAAATAACTTAGGTACGGTACATTATAAAAGCTAACAGCCTTTTTTACGTTGACTTAAATTGTAAGCTTACCTTTTACCGTCCATGGGTAGTTTGATAGTTAAAAATAATTAAACCTTTAAACTGGAATAGGACTGTTATGTAAATTGTGAGTGTTTCCATTAGTTAATTTATTTTATTAATTATTTTAGTCGACTCTTTTAAAATCATCGGAAATTATGACTGTTATCAGTTTTTAAACAAGTTATTTGTTTATAAATAACTCCTGTACTTTTTTGCAATTGCTCGATTTTGAGCAACATGTACACTAGTCTTACTAATATTATAAATGTGAAAGTTTGTGTGTTTGTTTGTTTGAAGTTCAATCACGCATTAACTACTGGACGAATTTGGCTGAAATTTGGCATGATTATAGCTAACATTCCCAACATACAGGGTGTCCCACGTAAGGTCTCAAATTGATTACGGAAAAACGGCATAATGTACAAGGATGAAATAAAATTATTTTCCACTAAATCGACCCAAAGGAATAACGTAAAAATATTTTTAAATTTTTTCCGATACAGGGTGTGCCAAAAACTTTGAAAAATGATAAGATATTTACAAGAAATGTTGATTATATCGATCTGTTATGTACATCGTGAGTATTTCCATAATCTTTGAGTCGACTCAATTAAAGTCATCGGAAACTATTACTGTTATTCGTTTTAAAATAGTGCCTGTAATACTTTGCAATTGCTCGAATTCGAGCTACAGGTACACTAGTGTTAAGTTATTTTTGTACTATTTATTACACTGACTTGAGTTAAGATGTTTTAATATGTGATTTATTCAAGTGACTTGTACTTATAGTATTTGAAATATATTTAAATATTTTTACTGTCTATTTTTATCATACCGTTGTCCTATGTAATGATTGTTGGGTTACCGATTTTGCAACAGGAGCAGTGCGGCTGGTGTTCAAAGGTGGTGGGAGGGTTCTGCATATTTTTATACAAACGAAGGGCTAACATTCACGTTTGTCAAAGAATTGGAAAAGATTTACTTAAGGCTTAAAATTTGTAATACAAACACACATAGGCCTAGCTTATGATATATATTTATTTTATTTACTTGTTTCCAAGGCTGCTATTGTATTTAACTTAATAACAGTGTCTGCAAATGGGTCTGTCCTGAAAATAACATTAACAAAATAATGATAATATTCCATCAAATATCTAAGGTAATAAGAAATAGATAGCCAAATAAGTAAAACAGCTTACAAAAACAAATTGCATTTAAACTGATACCGGTAACCTAAAAACCTATCGTACTTCAATAATATTTATCAACCACAAATGCAGGGCCTACCTTTAACTAAAATAGATGTGAAATCAATTTAATAAAGTATACGATTAGTATTTTACTTAAATGCATCCACAAACAGTACTCCTACATCACTATTCATTCATTAGTATTTTACTACTAAAGAACAACACCAAACCAAAATAACATTTTGATGTTAGCTCAGTTGTTTTCTAGTTTTAGAAATTAGATGGTTTGAGTTATGACAAACAGGTGTGCCAACATCAGTTCTACCCATCATAATGGTAGCTTGTCATACAGAATATCCAGATTGTGGTGCCTGTCCTGATTTTAGAGTGTGCGTGCAAATTTGGAATCTGCCCCAAAGCGCCCATACTAAAGCATTGGAATTACATCATTGCACCCTCAGCGCTGTTCAGTTGTTCTGCCATAAGACTACATGGACTGGGATTGGGTCGGTCTCGCCACCGTCCTTACTAAGCAAGCGACGGTCAAAAATAAGTCTTTACTGAATTGAATTATCCAATTATTTGATATATTTATGTTGTATACTGATTAAAGTACTCGTTTAAGTAATTTTAATTAAATTCAACTAAATGATATTAAAATTTACAGTAATTTATTTATGTATTGTTGGGAGGGCGGCCTCCGAGAGTCCTTATGGGCTAGCCGCCACTGATCAGGATTCAGCGTTAACAGTTAGGTACAACAAAAAATCCCTTGACCTTCCATTTTTACGTTTCAGTCATATTTAAACCACTTTTCTGTCATGAAAAAACCATGTACGATGTTTTACTTTTAATTACAAAAGGATTTATGTCACACAACAGTACAGTTCATCTTTTGTAAACTACTATAATTCACAAATAAACTTTCAATGTAGCCTTCATAATCTTTTTTTTTTAACTTCCAAAATGTGCTCAGTTTACAATTTGTGGTGTTAACAATCAACTTTCTAAATAAAATTGTTTAGTTTAAACATGAGACTGGCTAAATATCATACATTTTTTGTATTGTACGTATTAAATTATTTTGCATCACATACACATAAGTCATAATGATCTTTAAAAAATATATTATAAAATTACAAATTACAATCTAGCGCCTCTCTAACGCAAGCAATATTGGTTTAGGTAAAGCAAGTGTTTTTACTGCCATATGTCATTCTCTTAATCGTTAACACTTGTTCTAATAAGCCTCATCAGTTCCATTTCTAAACACTCTTCGATTCGACTTGTTACAGTTAGTAGAAAATAAAACTTGACTGCTCACTCAGATCTGTCAAGATGTTGGTGACAGTTGAACATCTGTGTTTTATTTTCATTTCTGTAAGTTTATTTGCTTCCTCGCATGGTTTTGAAGACCAGAAATCATTAGCGCCCAAGGATACAAATAGAGCAGAGACTAAAGAGAAATATAAAGATGCACGATTATTTACTGCTGAAGCTCTTCAAGAACCAAACGCCCAAACTGACCAGTGGAAGGTTTGTTTACAATATTGGATACTATTAATAGCTTTTTAGGATATTTTCCTGTAGTTTATACAAGGGAACACCCACAACTTGCATTCTACACTCATCCTTTACTTATATTTGAGTAAAAAAAAAACACACCTATTAGGTGTCGTCATCTCAATGATTGATGATTAACAATTCTTCTACCAAAAGACATAAGAAAGAATGAAATAGCAACAAAATTACTCAAAACTAAAGAAATTAAAAACACATTTTCCTCCTTTGAGGAATTTTACGATTTAAAATAATGTGAATAGAAAATAAGTTGCATATCCTCCCTGACTCTTTCATGTACCTTGGGTAAAGGATATTTTGATTTGATGTCAGCTTAGTAATATAGCTTCGGTTTTGAGTTACCTGACAAAAGGTAGGTGTATCCACGAATACTAGAAAAGACTCGGTATGGATCATAAACATAAACAAATGACGTTTATAACCCAAAAGTAAACAAAACCATATGTTAATTAATGCTATTAGTATAATGGTCTTGTTTACTTTTGGGCCAAAAACGTCATTTGTTTATGATCCATACCGGTATTTTTATAGTATTCGTGGGTGTATCTATCTATCAATATTATTAATACGCTACATGAAACTTTGTGAACAATAACGTTTTTTTGTTTTTAAATTTAACCCTACATATTATGTACCAAAATGTTTAGGTGTGTAGATTTGTAAACTGACCTTACATTTTTGAAAAAGTCCATTGGGCTCTGTTCCGGTGGCTTTAAAAGTTCCCATATTATCCTTATGAAGAACATATTTGTTATTTTGTTTACATTATGAGGCCATTTGTTCACAACATTGTTGCAGGCCATCAGACGCCGTGGAAGGTACACTCGTATCCTAACCACGCCTGACATGTGCAAGGCGTACGTACAAGGGTTGGTAGACTCAGAGGGAGAGTTAGCCTGGGACGAACATCGCTGCACTGTCCTCACCTTGGTAGTAAAGTGCAATGCCAAAGTCCGGATACTCACCAGGAGTGGCCTGGAGGTCCTGGCAGAGGGTGAGGACAAAAAGGAGATCTTCCTGGAGATCCTGGTTGACGAAGGGCACAAGAGAACTATTCCGCTCGATGGTGTCGCATCCAGGGTCAGTTAGTTTACATCATCACAAGCACATTCGTACATTTTTTTCATTCGGTACCCAAGGCAGTCATAACCTCAAAGAAAGTATCATAAGAGGCTAGGCAACACTACCACCTAGTAGGGATGAGCATTGATAGTCGATGTTTTCGAAACATCAATGTTTGATGTTTTTTACATCGATGGTAAGTTACAAATTTTTAGTTTCATCGATGTTATTGGTCAAGTATTTCCATTATGGAGGTTTTCCATTACTGGAGAGTACAAAAAGCAGATGAAAAACTGAAAAACATTGATGCTAGTCCCAAAAACATTGATGTTTTTGCAACAATGTTATCGGTACATCGATGGTTGACGTCAATGCTCATCCCTACCACCTAGTGTTAAGAAATATAGGAATTGTAGGCAAAAGTTAATCAAGTTAATTGTATACATAATTTTCACATCTTTAAAGGTTAGATATTACAGCTGGGTGGATTTAGTAGTCATTTAATAGTCAGTAGGTTTCTCTGTCAATTGTATAAAAGGTCTGTGTCTCTTTTGTGGTTTTAAACTAGACCTTGATGTTGTCATGGGCAAAGTTTTGTTGGGAGATGAAAAATCAATGGTAACGTGGATCCAGGGATTGGACCCATACCATAAATCAACTATTGGTCACGGCTGTGGTGGCCAGTCCCATGATATATCAGCCGCTCGACTGAACTAACACTTCTGGAAACTACTAGGCAAGTAAAATATTTGAACATTGACCGATTGGTGTAAAATTTGGTATCATATTAACAGCAGTATTTGAGAAATGATGACATTGCATTGCTTTTATTTGTAATTTTAATGAAAATTCCTTGTTGTAATTGGGCACCCTTGGTCTCTCAAAGAAAGTTCAGTTGTAAACAATGATTGGATAGGGGCATGGACCCCACCCCCTAGGTCCACGGTCCACGTTAACTTATCCACGACCATAGCTTTGAATACTGGGCTTCTAAAAACTGGCCCTGACCAAAGAAACAGAAAATCTTAGTCTGTACAAAACAAAACTAGGCCTACACATGGTCTTGTATTCCATTCTATATACGTACTCATATTCTGATTAAAATACAGAAGTTTTCTGTTGTTAGTGCCTTGACTTGATGTAAGTGGTACCACAGAGAAGTACGGTAAGATACAGAGGATACAAGCTTATGGGACCACCGTGCACTTTTAGCTCTGGTGAGATGGAAATGTACTAGTATTGAGCAAGGAAGAGCCCCAACGGTGAAGGCCACATACCATGTACAGCAGCTGTAGTCCACAGGGTTTTCCTAGATGGCGAGGGGGGAAAGGAAAGTAGAAGGGGACCCCATTAATGGAGCGAGGGTTAAAAAGACACTTTTTACCAGTGAAATGAACGATATTTTTCGCCATATTGCATCAAACTATAATAGAAAACAAAATAATTTGTGTGAAAAGATAACCTCTCAAAACGACTTCCAGCTTGTTTTAAATTTTGCTAAATGTAAATAAGCAGCTGTCGTCAGCTTAAGCGATTCATCAATCATTTTGTCTATTACGATTGTGTTACAGTAAGTACATCATACCATCGATATGTCGAGCGATCGACAACCTAATCTAATAAATAAATTGATAAATAAAATCGATCGATACGATTGCCACAATCAAAATTTACAACTGTCTACAACAGCTGATTTTTACTCCCTAGATACTTAAAATGATTTTTACTCCCTAGCTAGAGAGTAAAAATGCTACTGTACACCCGCAACGCATGCATTAAAAACAGCTGTTTTTCCTGCAGTATGACGAAAAAATAATTTTAACACAACTTGACACCAGGTTGTCTATTCATTTTAATGTTTTTTAAATATAATATTCTATTGACATAATATTATTAGATTATTTATCATGAAGATATTTTCAGGGTTAATTCTATTTTTTCAGGATCTTGCGATTCTTGTCCATGTTCATAATTTGCAAGAAAAAGGAGTTCGCCCAGATTTTCATGTAAAAAGACAAAAAGAATTAGGTTCTGATTTCTTCGCTCAGGATCAACCTTCTAGTGGGTGGTTCCCTGGATGTGGCTAAGATACTTTAAGTGCATCTTTGAATATATTTTGATAAGAAAAATTATAATAATCTCAAAATCCATTCATGAAATAACTGTAATTTTAATATAACTCAAAAATGTTAATAAAAGCAATATTAACCTGTAACATATCTGTGACTTTACAAATCAGACCTATTGAATTACTAAGCCTAACTTAATTGGAGAGTTTTAGCAAAAATACTTAAGTTTACTGCCGTTCCAAACCATAAATTTATTAGTCCTACACAAGAATGATATTCAATGTCGGTATAGAAAAAATATGCAAAATACATAAATAAATACTGAGGGCTATCAGAAAATGTAGTAGAAGTAATGATTTTATTTATTTCTTAACGTAAACTTAGTGCTGCAAGCCTGAGATTAAGAAATGTTGTGTCCAATCTATTTTCACAATAAATTTAATAAGATTTTAAAAGACAATTAAATGTGGAAAAGAATTTTACCATTAAATAATTTTTGGCAGGGAATGTTCTTTTGAGAAATTAATATTTCAACCATATGTGCCCAAACTGGAATCAGTTACCACTTTTTGAATCATGGCAACTATTTTTAACGGACACATTTTATTAGATGAGGCCTCCACATTGGAAAAAAACATCAGTTCGGGTACAGCAAAACAACTCAAAACATTTTGAAAAAAAATATATTTACAATACCTACTAACCTAATACAAATAAACGTTTACCAAGCACGCCTCTTGCTCATACCTGCCCACGTGAGGATCCTTTTCTTTTTATCGTGCGTTTTCAGTCCCATCTGCTTGTGCCTCGGATGAGTTAAGCAAAGATTGTAAATTCTACCGTCTCTAATCTCCAACCAGCAGTCTCGGCACCTCCGTTTCACTGCGTAACGCATCTTAAATCCATTGACAAAGTTCAATGTTGGCAACACTGGTTGTAACAATGTCTTCGCTACCTGAGTGACACTGTTCACAGGAGGATTCGCATTGGTGATGGACTGTCGAAAGATTTTCACAATGAAGTTCATTCTCCTTCCCTGAAAATATGGAATATTTTCTTAAAACAAATAAATGAGGGTGTCATAGGTTAGTCAGTTAATTTTGAAATAAAAAGAAAGCATGTCAAATTATTATTTCTAGCTAAGTGCCCCATCAAAGTAGAACCATACTTACCAGATATTAATCCCAGAAATAAGGCTTTATTTTATCACTTATTTTATTTATGAAACACAAAGAATTCTAAGCAAAGGATATATTGAATAACTTACATTGAATTTTTTTTGGACCATTTACGTCAAAAGTTTCTGAAAAGTTTATTGTAAGGATGGTCCAAACACTGGTATTTTTACGGTATCTATGAAATTGACGTTTTTATAAAAAAATCTTTATGTCGTAGCTCAATGACAAATGACACTTATGTTCAGAATCTATCTCGGTCGGGATTGAACCAGCAACCTCCAGAATTGAAATTAAGCATTAACCCTTTCGGTTACCAAGACAATCACAGGATTGTGTATGCAAAATCACATAAGCCAAGATTGCCTGCATACCAAGCACCACCTACCTGGGCTTTATATGCCGTAATTCTTTTGCAATAACATTTATGTAGGTAGGCTACTTAGTACAATAGGTACTTAAATTTTGAGTGCCGAATCAAACATTCAAACTATAACTTACATGACAAGCTGTTCCCATTTTTTTATAAAAGAAATAGCATAGCCTAGTTAGCTAAAGGAGAATATACACTCACAAAATGGGGTTCAGTTAAAATTTGATGTTCTCCCTTGATTAGTGTTATTGAGATAGTTAGTTATAAATAAAACATAAGGGAAACCAATAAATAACCAATAATAAGGGTATAGGCCCTATGTATTAATTTTCTTTCATCCTAGTCGGAAAAATTCAACGCTGATTCCGAAAATGACGTTCTTTTTCTGCAGAAAACGACCATAAAACCCAAAAAAACGTTTATGGGTACGTCACATGGGTACTCAAATAATGAATAGGCCTAAATGAATTTATTTCCCATATTACATAACACTTTACAATCATAATAATTGTTGAGAAATGTAAACTGGTCACTTTTTCAAGTAGTGTGACCAGTTAAAAGGTTAGATTAACTTATTTATTAAGATTATTATTATTATTGATTAACTTAAAATTATTTAACTATTAGGTTAAATAAACTGGAATGACAGCAGATCACGAATATGCAAGAATGTTTTTGATCCGAAGTTAAATAAGCGAGAAATAGACAAACATGTAAGTATCGGTAGCTTACTAACTTATCAGCAATAACTCCACCTAATGAATTCGGGGTTTTGGGTGGGGGAGACATCCAACGTGGGGAATCATCGGGAGAAAAGGGAAATTAGACGGGTAAAGGTTAATTTTACAGGTAATAACGGGTTAGCTGATAGGAATGGGAACTTTCTATTTAACAAAATTGAACACTGATCTTATTTGAGACATGAGGGGAGGGCAGGTCAGGAAGTGGATTCATGGCTGCATTAGGTGCTTTAAAGGTAGGTTAGGATAGGTAATTAAGTTAATGTTTAGATTATAGTCAACCGGGTTGTTAAGATAATTAATTGTGTTACATCCATATTGTTTTTCAGCGATTGGAGTTATTTTAAAAAGAGTTATTTAACGAAACAATTTTGAAAATGCTAGCATTTTCAAAATCGTTTCCTTGTTGTTTAATGACCAACTATTATGACTAGAATTACAAATTCAAAAATCGGGTGCAAATCCTAAAATGCGTTCTCACTGAATTTTTCACTGTTAACCTCAATTGGTGGATGAAACTGGAGAAATTAGTTAGTCATAAATTACAGGCCATTGGAATGTGTTAGAAAACGAGACTTTTAGTTAGTTAGTCGGCCACATTATAGGCTAATAGGCTAAGGCCTATTTAGTTTTGTACCGTATGTTAACTTACATTCTGTTCTTAGTGTAGCATAGGCTACATTAAATTATTAAATACTTATCAAACTGTCAAGTTATTGAAAAGAATACAACAATAAGCTAACTTACAACCTATGAAATCAATCGATACATAATTTTGGTATAGGTCTATGTGATTGCTTACCGGTTACAATCAAAGTTTACAAAAGGTGCTGGGTACAGTTTCTTAACTGGGCTACCTATGCTAATATCGATTGAAACTATCGAATTGAAAATATTCATTAATAGGCCCTAATCAATATTTTTAAATATATCTAGGCCTATTAAGTTATATAATGAACACAGAGGATACGTCTGGTAACCGGGCGTGGATTAGGCGTCCGGCAGTGACGTCACCGGGTTGTGGGGGCCCGGAACGCCATTACCACAACGATACGATGTACAGCCATTGGTGTTCGTGGTGTAGTGGATAGAGTGCTTGGTTGATATGCAAGAGCAGGTACCTGGTTCGAATCCCATCGGTAGGCTAACTTTAAATTTTTGTCAAAGATTTTGCGTTGAATGTCCTTTCTTCTTAACTGCACATCTTTTGTTAGAATTTTGGCATTTAATTTATGAAGGAACAGAATTTAACTTAACCTTCATTTGATTTGTTTACTTAACAACTTATTTAACTACCGGGCGCCTAATCCACGTCCGTTACTGGACGCGTATCCTTTGCATATAATGAAACTGTCATAACCTAACCTAACTAACTTAACCAAACTTGCTGATACCTAGTGAAAAAATTGCATGAAGGTTTACTAACTTAGTTGAATCGATAGTTTCAATCGATATTAGCATAGCCCAGTTAAGAAACTGTACCCTTGCGATGGATGTATTAGGACTAGCCTATTTAGGCTACCGTGCTTTAACTTATTTACTTTAAATGTAGCCTATATGATTCTTGAAGAGCAAAATTACAGTAGGCCTAGGCCTTCTAGCCAGGGTTCATTACTGAAACTATTGGAATACCGGTTCGTCATGCTGCTGAGAAAACCAAGACTATACAGTACATCTTACCTTAGCAAACAGAATTGCTCGTCGTAATATTAACAAACCCCTAAAATCTAAAACGTTCAATGCTTCCCAATAATCAGCTTGACATAACCTCCTTTCTTTAGTCAGTCAACCAGAACAGAAAACAGAACGAAGTGACTATTCGCACGTCAAAATGCTCCACAGCCCGTTCCCGTTCCAGTTCCAGTATTACAAAATAATGCAACGGGAACTTTCAGAACGTTCAGTTTCTGTGTTTCAGTTACTGTACTTTTAAGTTTTAAGAAGCTTGAAACGTTCAAGAACAATCGATGGAGCCAGAAAGAAAAGTGTTAAAAGTAAAAAAAAAAAAAAAAAAAACACATAAATAAATGATAATTTGAAATATTATCAATTGACTTACAGATGCAAACACAGTGGTACAAGTAAAAGTACAAGCTCGGGAAAGCGGCCAAATAAAAAATAATATGATTTTAAGTAGGCCAATTAAGATTTTACTTGTAAAGCTTACACTGTAACTGTAAAATGTTAAGCTTTTAAGCCGATGACAGCCTGGTGATTTACTAATATTTATTTTTATCCTAATGCCTAGCCTACTTCTGGGCTATCTAGGCCTCCATGCATCTTGATCTAGGCCTACCAATATTAGGCCCTACCTTTTATAGGCCTAGCCTTTGATATGTAAAGGTAAAGTAGGCTAACATAAGGCCTAGGCTTGGCTTAAGTTTTTTACGATTCCTTTATATTGAATCTTCTAATGTGTATTTCTAATAAACATTTTATTATTGGCCAGCACCTATATTTTTGATTGCTTATAACCTCTTTGGCTCTGTTCAACTCTTTTACCTTTCTCTTTACGAAGTTGGTTGATCCCATCCATTTCGATTTCGGCTAATATGAGGTACTACCGTTTACCGTTACCGTTCCTAATACTAGGATATCTTTGTGTGCAACCTGTTCCCAAACAGCTATAACAGTTACTAGATTAGGAACGTAATGTGACGTCATTTGGAGCAGACGTGCGTGGTAGCGGCGCACGTCTGACGTGCGAATAGCCACTGCCAAAACAGAACCAACCTTTCCTAAAAAAAAATTACTCTTCTCTTTCTTCTTCTTCTATTCAGGTTCGCTAAAAAAACTGGCTTGGTTAAGTTAGCAACAGTATTGTGGATTGGACTGGATTGGGTTAACTTTGTACAGTATTGTGAATTCCTACAGCCTCATGAAGCATTCTCTGCATTTCTTGAAATATTTGATAGAATTTTTAATGAAATTTTCCCCACTGTAAATTACACCAAAAGTGTAATGAAATGAAATGAAATGAAATGATTTATTGTCGTTAAAACTATGTACAAAGTTCATGACAATCGTCAAAATAAAAACAAAACAATCAAGATGGCTCTGGCAACTAAAATATCTAAAACTCTAAACCAAAGTACTCTTCATGTTTATACAGGCAAGCCTGGGTTAGAGTAGTTTTTATAGCATGTTTGAATTTTAAAACACACAGGTTTTTGATGGATGCAGGCAAGAAATTGTACATTTTAACACCTTGGTACTCAAAACTATTTTGAGTGGCTGTATACTTATGCCTTAGTGTAGACAGATTATCTTTTGATCTAGTACAGTAGTTGTGCACATCAGATATCTTTTCAAAGTGAGAAATGTTTTCTTTTACATATAACAAACTTGCCAAAACATACAAAGATGGAAATGTGAGAATGTTAAGACCCACAAAAAGGGGCTTACAATGTGTTCTTCTATTCACACTACAAATTAACCTCACCGCCTTCTTTTATAAAGTAAAGAGCAACCTGTTAGCATAAAAACTGTTGGCCCACAGTGAGGTACCATAGGACAAATAGCTATGAATGTGGCCGTAATATATACAAATAAGGACATCAACTGAAACAGTGGATCTAAGTGCTCTTATCATAAATATGCCTTTTACAATCTTAGAAGCTACAAAATCTACATGTGAAAACCACTTCAAGTTTGACTGCAAGTGAAAACCCAAAAACTTCAGAGTGTTTACATCATTACCATTACTGCTAAGACTAATAGTTAGGTCTTGAGTCTTATCAGCATTAAGACATAACTTGTTTGCATTACACCAGTCATTAATAACAGCAGATTTTGTATCCAATGTATCTGTAACGTCATTCAAAGAGTTACCCCGTACACACAAGGCCAAGTCATCAGCAAAAAGAAAGCTTTTTACAGATAAGTCATTAATATTACAAGGTAAGTCATTTATATACAGTATAAACAGGGTAGGGCCCAATATAGAGCCTTGGGGCACTCCGTGGGGCACTCGAACAGGGCTAGAATAAGTGCCGTTTAGATAGACTTTTTGCCATCTGTCACTTAGATAAGATTGAAAGAACTTAACCAAAACTGCATCAAGGTTATAGCAAGAAAGCTTATCCACAAGGAGATCATGAGCCACTGTGTCAAAGGCCTTAGACATGTCGTACGATCTAAACACTATGCCACTTTTGGCCTCTAAACTTTGAAAGCAATTTGATATCAGTGCCTGGGTTGCTTGGACAGTGCTGTGTTTGGGCCTAAAGCCAAACTGACTACTTGCTAAAAGGTTACTATCCTCAAGATACTGAGAAAATCTACGATGTACGAGATGTTCCAAGACCTTCGACACTGCAGGGATAATAGATATAGGCCTATAGTTAGCAATAACATTTTTAGGCCCCTTTTTATGGACTGGTATAACCTTAGAAATCTTGAACTTGTTTGGGTAGCAACCTTGTGTTATACAGAGATTAAATAGGTATGTCAAAACTTCACTTATGTAACTAGAAGCTAACTTCAAGATGGGGACATTAATTCCGTAAATATCTAAACAAGAGCTATTGTTAAGACTGTTGATGGCTGCATACACCTCTTCTACAGTAAATAGTTCAAGCCTAAAAGCATTGTTGTCCTCAATAGTACAAACAACAAGTACAATAGAATAGTACAATAGAAAACAAAGCTAAGCCTAGGAGGATTGCGTCTCATAAAGCATGGTATACAGATGACCTGCATAGGATTAAAATGTATGTGGTTCTGTACAGGGACTTGATGAATTCAGCATCATCTAATGAGGAGTTTGCTCATTGGAAAACAATATATTTAAGAATAAATCGATATTACCGTAACATGGTTGACAAAGCTAAAAGAAATTTCAATGCAAGGTCTATTGAGATGGCTCACAACCCCCAGAAGGCTGCCTGGGCACTAATTAACCAACATAGAAATTCTGCTAAGCCTAAGTCTAATGCTAGCCCTGATGAGTTTAACAAATTCTTTATTCAGAACATTAATAAGATTGTTGACAATATTAACCTCACTTCTCAAACTCTTGATAGCTCATCCTTATTAAGAGCTGGAAATCGGTCGAGACAAATACCTACTATGTCAACCTGGAGGCTGGTTACTCCGGAAAAAATCTGCCAAATAGTTAAGGGCTACAAAAACTCTCATAGTCCTGATGTTTATGGTGTGTCCTGCCACCTACTCAAGTCAGTTATTGATGTGATCTCTTTTCCTTTGGCCTGGCTCATAAATTCATGCTTAAGTAAGGGAGTATTCCCGGACGAGTTAAAGATATCTAGGGCAGTGCCAATTTTTAAGAAAGGTGACCCCCAACTTTTGACCAACTACAGGCCTGTAGCCTTGGTTCCAGCCTTTGGTAAAATCATGGAGTCAATTCTCAACGAACAACTGGTGACTCACTTTGAAGGGAACGATATAATACTAAGTGCCCAACATGGCTTCCGCAAGGGGCGATCAACTGTACCGGCTGTGCGATCATTAGTTGGTCAGGTTATAGAGGCCTTTGAGGCTGGCGACTCTCTGGGACTGGTGTTGTGTGATCTAAGCAAAGCCTTCGACTGCGTTTCTCACGAGATACTTGTTAGTAAACTCAAACATTAAGGAATAACGGGGATTGCTCTTAACACCTTGCAATCGTATCTGAGAAACAGGAAGCAGGTAGTGGAAGTTGAGGGTGCTCGATCAGAAGAGCTTAGTTTGCGACATGGGGTTCCTCAAGGGTCTGTGCTTGGTCCCCTTCTCTTCGTCATTCTTGTCAATGATTTAGATCTTCAGGGCCGCTCACTTTTATATGCGGATGACACTACCCTGCTGGCAAGGGGAAAGGACATAGATCAAATACGTCTGGACTCAGACAGATTACTTGACGAGGCCAAGAATTGGTTTGTGAGCAACAAGTTGCAGCTCAACGATGATAAGACTCAGCGACTCATTTGCACTCTGAAGACGACTGATGCTGGGAACCCCTTGAAGCTCCTTGGCTTCTGGATTGATCCGAAGATGTCGTGGGGTGAACACGCAACTCAGGTCTGCCATAGGCTTTCTAGAGTCCTCTTTTTGCTAAGGAAATTGAAAAAATCAGTGCCAGTGGATTTTTTGGTATCGGCCTATTTCGCCCTGTTCCACAGTCATATCTCATATGGGTTGTTATTATGGGGACACTGTCCAAAGAGTCAGAAGATTCTGCGGCTCCAGAAGAAAGCAGTGAGGCTTTTGACTTCATCTGGCCGTCGAGACCACAGTAAGCCTCTGTTCTCCTCTCTTAACATTCTTACCATCTTTAGTCAATATGTACTTGACTCCGTCTGCTACGTTAAGGAGAACATTGGTGACTTTATACAGCGTGGTGCAGTACATCAGCACAACACTAGAGGAGCTATCGATCTGGATGTGCCAAGATGCAGACTGGCTAAGTCACTGAACAGCTTCCCAGTTATGGCAGTGAGACTTTTCAATAGACTCCCAATTGAAGTAAAGCAGGCGAACAATGCCCAGTTTAAAAGATTGGTAAGGGAGAGACTCCTGGTGGACCCCCTATTTGACACAGACGAATTTATGAGGGAACCTTGGAGAGGAGCCATCCGCAATCCAAGATAGCCTAGACATGAATTGACACAGCCTATCCAGATCATCTGGTCATCGGCGACGCAGTGGTAATTAAGGTAATAATTAATTAATTACCATGTATTTACACTTGTTCACCCTAAAACCATAGATAAAACATACGATCCCTTGTGTTGGTTAGTCTATGCTAAAACCATGGCCACCTTTAACCATATTTAACTCCAGGCACGGCCGCCTTTAACTCCAGGCCGCGGCCTTCGAACTGGCACATCGCAAGTGGTGTTGTAACAGCTGTTTTTGTTTGGAAGCAGCTAATGGTATTTGTGTTTTTACGAAATATTGGTTACTGGACTATGACAATATCGACTCCGCTTAAAAATGTACAGATATAGATTTTAATTCATACTGTTTCAATTTTCAATTCTGTATGTTTTATTTTCAATATTTTAATAAATTTATGTTCATAAATTATAAATTAAATTAATAAAGTGCGAATTAATGAGCTGATGTCACCTGTCTGCCATGTTATCTTATGGGACGTCTGTCGTTGAACAAGTGAACAACACCACTTGCGATGTTGCCAATTCTACCAGGCCACGGCCTGTAGCACGGCCGCCTTTAACTCCAGGCCGCGGCCTTCGAACTGGCAACGTCGCAAGTGGTGTTGTAACAGCTGATTTTTAGGAAGCAACTAATGGTATTTGTGTATTTACGAAATATTGATTACTGGACTCTGACAATATTGACTCCGCTTAAAAATGTACAGATATAGATTTTAATTCATATTGTTTCAATTTTCAATTCGGTATGTTTTATTTTCAATATCTTAATAAATTTATGTTCATAATTTATAAATTAAATCAATAAAGTGCGAATTAATGAGCTGATGTCACCAGTCTGCCATGTTATCTTATGGGACGTCTGTCACTGAATAACACCACTTGCGATGTTGCCAATTCTACCAGGCCGCGGCCTGTAGTTAAAGGCGGCCGTGCCCGTAGTTTAAGGCGGCCGTGGTAGTCGACCTCTTTTTTTTTCTTTTAATAACCTTTGGTCAGTTCTCACTCTTCAGTCTTCACTCCTCAGTCGAGTCGTCGAGTCGAGTCAGCTACCAGCGTTTACGGACAGACAACGACAGATTATAGCTTAGTGCGAGTGCAGACAACAGAATCTCTGTGGTGATCACTGATCGATCAGATTTTTCAGTGTACTCTACAGAAAGTACAAACAAACTAGGGACAACTAAAGGTAGACTTGAACTGAAGCTTGAAGAGTCGTGGAAAGTTTATTGCATTGAAAACTTGTGACATTTTGGTGTATTTGTTAGCAATCTTTATTCATTGAGTTGATTCATTGTAGTACAGTTAATTTGTGTAGAAAGACTTCTCCCCAGTTAAGCTTAGCCTAGGCCTATTCCTATTTGTATGTAGGCCTGTATTCAACAAAAACCATCCAAAAGCTTCTAGGCCTATGACACTGTGGAGTATGTGTAAACGAAGATAGTCTGGAATTGAATTAACATAATCTTGTGTAATTGTGTCATCTTTTCCCTAATTATTGTAGGCCTAGTAGTCATGTCTTCTTGGCTTGAAAATCTGACTACTGCTGGGAATGTGCTACAAAAAATGTTTAGCAATACCAGTCCACCAAATAAAGTTCTGGAGGTGAAGTCTGATAAGTATAGCAACAGAACTGTAATATGCAGGGAAGACAACATTGTGTTTTATGGACCAACAAACAATGACAATAAATATGAAATTGTTATTCTAAGAGCATACTGTGACCTAGCCTACAGGTAAGAACTTCAGTAGCCATATAATAGGCATATAATAACTAGTACCGTAATAAGTAACTTAGAGTCGGGACCACATAAGTTTGCAGTTAAGGGAGGAGCCTATTAACCATATGGTTTTGAATGAACCAATAAGAACGGTGCGGTGTTGCCAAATCTAATAATACCAGCTGATTTGAAAATATTGCTTTGTATATTTAATTAGTGTTGTTAATGGGCGATGTGGCTACCTACGTCGCACTAGCATTGTCTTGTGATTGGCTGCCACCAACTGCAAACTTACGTGGTCCCGACAATAGGCCTTGGCTATAAACTTTATGATTCACTCTGATAAACTTACAATGAAATACTTTTGCAAGTGACCCCTGGCTGTGGAATTAAGTTAGGGGGGTAAAGTGGGGTAAGTGGAACCAGGGGGCAAGTGAAACCGCAGCTTATCAATCAACTGATAAGATAAGTTTCAGCTTAGTTGCCATCATCTTTTATTGTGTTCTCTGGACCTTGTTTTAAAACCTTAAAAAGCTAGCCTAATTAAGTTATGAACAAATGTAGGCCTACCTACCTAAGTTAACTAAAGCCGCGTTTTCCTAGGAAGTGGAGAGAGGAGCGCGGAGAGCGGACTCCACTTGTCTTAGGTAATTTAATGTTACTGTTTTCCTAGAAGCGGAGCGGAACGCCATGTTAATCTATTTTCTGCTCTCCGCGTTCCTCTCTCCGCCCTCCGCCTAGGAAAACCCGACTTGAGGCTACTTTTTGAATATTGAAAAAAAAAACTTAAAGCCTACATAAGTTAGCCAGAAAACTTGAATCAGAAATCAGAAACTTGAGAGTGAATGACTCTTTCTAGTGCTTTAGAAAGGGCGGGAAGAATGCTAATTGGTCTGTAGTCTTGCGGTAGAGATGGGGATGAGATTTTATTCAAGGGACGGACAAGCGCAGACTTCCACTTTTCTGGGAAAATACCTGATCTTAGTGAAGTATTAAATAATATGAAAGTTAATGTCGGAAGGAGAGCAAACAAGATTCGTTTAATTAAAGAAATTGGGATTCTGTCAGAACCAGTGGCGTCAGACGTTAACCGCCTTATAGCCTTCAAAACATCAATTTGCAATATTGGCTTGAAGTTAAATTTAGTGATGGAATTTGGCAAGGGACGTAATTTTAACTCAGTTAAATGGTTCTGAATTATTGTAGGCCTACCGTTTGCCTGTGATGAAACTGATAAAAAATAATTATTCAAATCGTTCAAGGGAATTGATATGGGAACAACTTTAACTTGCTTTCCAAATCCAAAACGTTTTAGATTACGCCAGCAAACAGCAGAGCATTGCTTTCCTTCGGAAAACAATCTATGAAAATATTGGAGTCGAGCATTACGTAAATGTTGTTTTACTTGATTTCTAAGCTGGCGGTAGTGGGCCATGAGCCCCTGATCCCTAGTTCTTTTGGCTCTGCGATGGACTGAGTCCCGCCGAGCCATTAAGCCAATGATCTCCTCACTAATCCAAGGAACGGATCGACTTTTACTAACCCTACGGTTGACAATTGGAGCGTGCTTGTCATATAATTTTAAAATGGTTTCATTAAGTGAAGCGACCATATCATCAACTGACTCCAGGGTGTGTATGGAGTGCCAAGGTGTTAAACTTACATCAGACAAAAAATTTGCTTCATTAAAATTTCTAAAATCTCTGTAAGAGATAAGTTTTTGTTTGGGCTTGGGAGCTCTCGTGGCAAGGGCACAATAAATTAGGTCATGTCGAGAAATGGCAGGGATTGGAAGCTGGCCATGGTGGACTGAAAGTTCGGGATCACTTAAAATAATAAGGTCTAGTAGGGTGTCAGCTTCAGCAGTGTGATGGGTCGGGTCCAGTGGTAGTATCGTCATGTTGCAAGAGTCAAACATGTTTGTCAATTGTTTGCAATCGTAACGTCCAGGTTTGAGTAAGTCACAGTTAAAGTCACGCATGATCAAGACACGACTGTAGCCTGGCATGAGGCGCAAGAGAGTATTTTCAAAGTTGGCCAAATGCCCCACTCCTGGAGGACGGTAACATGTCCCCAGGAGAAGAGCATCCGAACCAGACAAACGAATTTCCAAAAAAATTAATTCGGGTTTAGCAGAGTACTCACCCGGGGACTCGTACAACTGCCTAGCTTGCAAACCGTCCTTTACATAAACGGCAACGCCGCCACCTGTTTTTCCTAAGCGATCGTTTCTGAAAACTGAATAGCCAGGCAGTGCGATCAACCCAGGCGAAATACTCGGCTTCAACCAAGTTTCTGAAACTGAAATGATTTCAAAATTTTGAGTCCGAAATATTGCTCTGACTTCGTCAATATGTTTTGTGAGGGATTGAGCATTGATGTGAGCAGCTTTGAATTGTTTGGTAAAGGGAGCGAGGTTGTTGATAAGGATCTGGGCGTTATCAGTAGGGAGAGGAGTGGGCGGGGGAGGGGTGACTGAGGCGACGCTGTGCAGGTCCGCTATCCTGGACCTACAGCTCGAACCCGCGGCGAGGCGCCGACGACGCGCACCGGCGTAGCTGCAACAGACTTATTCACACACACACACACATACTCGGGATATAACACACAGTAATTAACATATCTAAGCTACTATAGAGAAAAACTTTAGCATTCATTACTGACGAACAAACACGATTAGCTTTCAGCTCCTTATTCAAAATTAAATTGTAAATTGTAATGAACTAAACATTTTAAACAGGCTTTTAAAACAGGGATACGAATCCTATACTAAAATACATGTGAAAAAACAAATAATAATAATAATAAATGTAGTTATTTAAAATACGAATGTCATGGTTTTACATAAATTAAAATAATGATTGGTATTACAGTATAAGCATTTGAAATAATTATCATTGATATGCAGTAGAATGAGTTAAGTTAGAGCACGCATCTTAGCTAGTTCTGGATAGGCCTACCAATTTTTGATTTTTCCTCTAGAGGAGTTGTTACCAACAACCCCTGTTTGGCTTGGATTGTGCTTAAGGGTCATTGTCAGGAAATGTGACAATTTGCCAATTTTTTTTAAATTTTTTTATAAAATATTTTGTTAATAGGCCTATTAAGTTATTATAAGAAGTAACAACCATTCAGAAATACAAATCAATCAGCAGCAGAGCTTAAAATCTTTATTTAACTTAGTTTTTTTTTTTTTTTTTTCAGGTTACCAAGTAGTCTAGTCACACCTATTGTTATAAAAAAAAAACAGTAAATATTGTTCAATAAAAAAAAAAAACATATTGATAATTAGGAAATAACACTATTTCAACAGGTTTTATAGTTTTATAAGACTAAATCTTTGTTTTTTTCATGAAAAGTGATTGATAAAGGTGAAATTAAATAGAAACTCCTCTTAAAAGTCAACAAAATCCATCATAGGGCCTAGTTAATTAAATATAGGCCTATACCTACTTGTATTTGAAAAAAGTTCAGTAACATAGAAATACAATTAGTTTACAAACTACCTATTGTAAAAAAAATAAATTAGGCCTACCAATGCATTTTTCTTAATTTTTATAAACAGTACCGTGACCGGGCTGTCGCTGCCGTGACCGGGCTGCCGCCGCCGTGACTAAAACTAAGATTTTGAGTATGCGTCCATCCTGTTATGCGAATATTTGAGCTTAGGCCTACATATTGTGATGATGAGCAATGTATATTTATTAAGCAATGTATATTTATTAAATTCAGTCTAAGGGAACAATAATAAGTCAAAATAAATCTTTTATTAATTTTCAAAATTTATTGAAAGTTGTATAAACATTTTATCAGCTGACACGCGCTCGTCTCGAGGAAGTGTACTTCCTGTGACGATGTCCCCCACTGTCCTGCAAACCCACAACCAATGAGAGCTTTCCTTTTCAAGGATACTCCATATATGGTAAATACAATTAATAAGTAACAGTAGAGGGGATAACTGTCACAGAACTCTTTTTATAATTTTTAGACAATCATTCCATCATCAACTTTCGAACTAGTAAGTAATTCCTCCCCCCTCTAGTCTCTCTCTCACTTTCTGGTTCACTTAGGTATTCTCTATCATGTAGTATTTCTATGTTAGTATTTAAGATTCTGGAAATTAAATAATAATTAATCCTTTTAGAGATGAACTTGCGTATCTAATTTAAGCATATGAACTTACTTGAGTGTAAATTTCTTGATTCAATTTAAAATGTAAAATTAAACTTGTGTGAAACTTTAACGTTTTATTTCTTCTTTGGTTTTATCCTATTAACTTAGTTAACCATGCTGGTCAGGCATAACAATTGGTGTCAGAAGTGGTGGATTAGTATTTGATTTCCAGATATCAAAGCAGTATTATTAAGCAATGTTCTTTGGTCTTTTATATTAAATTAAGTATTATGATTGTCAATGAGTGTTAGTCAGTCTGTATCGAGAAATTTGTTAAGAACAGGGGTTCCCCCTACACTCTAGGTGCATTTAGAGTCAGTTCAAAGGGAGTATTTTTATAAGTACATTGGACAGGACGTAAAAATTGACCTTTGGGTGGGAGTAAAATTACCTTCGGGATTTTATTATTGGGTGTTAACTTTGGATGGTATAATTGCTAATAGCCGTTGGGTAAGATCAAGCTTTGGTTGTACCCGTAAAAAGGTAGATGTAAGGAAAATTTCTGGAAAGGTGTTGATAAGATCCAAGGCTGATTCGGTTTGGTCATATTGTAAGGGTAATGCCGCGTGGGTTGCCCAGGTTTACAGGCGACAGGTAGTAAGTTGCTAAGCTGGGGAACAAAAGCTCAAAAAGTGAATCAAAAACTTTTATGGAAAAGAGGTCGTTTGGTCGGCCGCCGAATTCGGGGTTAGGAACAACGAGCGTAACCGAGATTAAATCAGAACTTTTTACAAAGATCGGAACTAGATCGGCTGTTATTACGGCACACTACGAGCATATCCAGCCGACAGGGAGTAATACCTCAGGGGGGAATGTAAAGTCCGTTACTTTTTCAGGGCTTG